TTTAAGTCAAGTGATAACTAACACTGTTCATGCCCTGCAATTAACATGTCTCCTTGAAAACCTATCGCGTCCAGCGCAGTGGTGGCCGCCCTAAAAATAAATCCCAATATTTACGATACAAGAAGGTCATTACACAAAGACTCGAGAGCCAGGCATTGTGCCGAATTCACGCCACTTATACCTCATAAATCATTCAGTCGAACCCAATTTGTTGGCGCCGACTGATGAAAAGGCACCCCCTTAATATTCGGAGAGGGATCCCTTAGGAATGCGGGGGATTTTATTTCATCGGCAGCTTTGCTTACGGCTTACATCGGCCCTGAAATGTTATTGATGGAAAGCGAACGTATAACGTGCAGGTGAATGTTTCGGGGTTCGGTGAGGTATCTGTCCGGGCGATATCCGTGGTCGTTGGAAAAGATGGGATATTGATCCTACACGCTGTCGGGAGCTGATCCCAGGGCTGAAGATTATGCCGTGATGATATGTTTGCTTTCTTTGTGCTGTATTTAATTTTAAACTTTAACGTTGAGTCCGTTATATGCAATTTATTGTAAAGAAATAACCCGCGCAAAAATATGTAACTGCATTTTATGAAGCACGATAAATTAATATCAGCCCTAAAGCAGCATAACAACGTTCATAAAAAAAATTTAGATAAACGAAAGCATACTGCCAATAACTAATTTTTAAAGTGAAATGAATATTAATATTTTCTTGAAATAAATAAATAAAATATAGACGAAGGGTAATTTTTTCACTATGGTAATATATGTTCGATTCCAATTTCAATTAACATATCTATTAATTTAGTATAGGAAACAAACGGATTCAAGAAAACGAAACATCAATAATCAAACTTATTCCCATGACATCTCAAGTATTTTCCTGAAATCAAATTTTATTATAATAATGTATATAATAAGTATTTTTTTAAATATACCTTGCTTTTAATTATAATAAGACTATTAACATCTCCATCTAGTAACCACAGAACATCTGAAGAATGCAATAATATTCCAAAAATCATCATAATCATTAACACCAGCCTATTAATGTACCCTGGGCCATGACCCAACGCGCGAGCCCAGTGAAGATTGTTGGGTATTAACGACCGCAGATGCTTCTCCAACGGGACCAAGGGGACCAACGATGCTTCTCCGTACTTCGGAAGGCACGTTAGCGTTAGCTCGAGATAATAATTTTTTGGCCACCCATGGCCACCTACATATCCCAAAAATAGATATTATAATATATAAAAAATAATAAAGCCGTTTCAAACTGGTTTTACTTTATAAACTTTTAAATATGTGCCAAATTTTATTTAAAAACTTTGAATAAGCAATCCAATAATTTTTCGTTTGGAAATAATAGAGACTACATACACATATTTCACGAAAAAGAGCAAGTATTTTGTGTAACATAAGCGGTGTTCGCTCTTTGCCTTCTATTTATAGAACTACCACTAGGGATTTCAATATTGCGGTACGATATGACGACGATCATCGAATACAGTTGAAAGGAAAATATCACGAGCAGGGTTTTCCCTTTATGTTACATATAAAGGATTCTCAGTTGATTCCGAATGTATCTATTTAAAAAAGTTTTCTTCAAGTTCCACGTTATCCTTTGGAAGACAATTCTCTTAAAAATTGTCGTTAAGAGAGAATTTCAGATAACGTATCTCGATCCGACGGGAGCATTTATTTTAAAACCTACCCTATCTTCAGTCGATCGGTTCGAAGATAAGGCGATGCTCTTTCATTCATTTCATTTGACTTTGATATCCCTGGGCACGTTTTAATGAAGCCTTTGACGCTAAGTGTCTTTGCTCGGCGGTTCACTTCGAACCTTAATGGGTTGATCTGCATCAATTCCAAACCATCAAATTTCAAATAATTGCCTATTGATTTCAGATAGTGGAAAGTTTAAAGAAATCTTTTAATCAAGAGTCCGTTGTTACGTTTTAGAAAATTTTTTTCATAATACGGTACACTACGGAATAGAATATCATTATCTATTTTAATAAAAGTAAACATTTGAATTATCATCAGCCTAGCTATATACTCTGTATAGGGGAAATGCAGATCGGTGAGTATTAATGATTGCAGATGCAGCTGCTAGTAAACAGCTCCATGTATCCTTCGCAGGACGAAGGAATATTTCTTTGCATTTCTAAACTTTGTGTTCGTCTTATATAATATGATTAAATATCTTCATCAGTTTTTAATTTAGTCGGTTAAATTTTGTTGACTTATCCAAATAACTTCTGAAGTTTTTTTATAAGCAATATAAAACTTTGTAATGAAATACCGATATACCTCTGTCGGCAGACCGGCTAAGTCTTGTGAGCATTTAATTCCAAATTTGTAATAATATTACATATACAAAAAATAAATTGCAAAAGAAGTTCAGAATCCAAATTGAAACCATGACATAGTGATTCCAAATCACTTCTCGTAAATAATATCAATCGTTAGCCAATTTTATTTCAAATAAATAAATTCTTAAAATTATTTACCTCTATTACATAATTCTATTTATACTTGATTCATTAAAGTAGGTAATAGTTTGACCTTCCAATCTTATTTTAGCAAAATTAATAGCGAAGCCATATAAACAAAGTTGTGTCGGTAATACAAATCTGAAATTACAACCTCTGTTGACGCTTCCAAATGGGAAAGAGGCAAACAAACATCAGATCGCGTTTGTACATTTTCCAAGGCAACAAGAACCGTTGCCTTGACAAATCTCGTGTCCTCCCCTCCCGACTAACCTCCCCACACCCGAGCCCAATCTTATTCCCAGGAAATAATCCTTGGAGGAATTAATTCCCTGTTAAATTATATTCGGCCTTTTTTTCTAAACAGGATCGTTGGGCAAATGTTGCGTAGCATTGAAATCCTCCAGAGGGACACGTCATTCAAGATTAAGAAATCTGTATAGTGGTCCGTGAGTAATTAGGGTTCAAATTGTTCGGTGGGATATATTAATAGTATATTGGTTACATCACGATGACTCAGAGAGATGTTGTTGAAAAAACAAAATTAATATATAAGTACATAGTTTTATTTAGTAACATTGTACAACCCTTCCGATCAATCCTATATTTCTCCCTAACATTAAGTAACGAATGATGGATGAATAGTATATTATATAACTAGTAGATTTCCTGCTATTTCCCGCGTTACTTGTAGTCAGCCTATTGTAGCCCTTGAATAATGTAGCTTACCATAAACGAAAGAATTTGCAAAATCAGTTCAGTAGTTGTTTCAGAGCCTATTCAATGCAAATATACAAACAGTCAATATTTTCTCTTACAATATTTAGTATAAATTACACAGCAGGCTATTTAAAGTACGGCGTCATCTACGTGAACTCTGAAATTGTCATCTCTAAAAGACTAGAGCGAGACGAAATATATCCCATAAAAAGTAGGATGGACCAGTAGATCCTCTTACTAAAGACCTACTAAACCTTTCTCCTCGTTATAGTCATTACTATATCACTTTGTAAGTAGGTATGATGCCAAAACACCCTAGAGTTTAATATTGAACATATAAAATTACATTTTATAACTTCACTACGAGTACAATGATAATTTAACTTTTTCAATGATTTCAATAAAATGATTGATGTTTGTAAGTTAAATATTCAGGAAAATTCTCTCGGAAATAATAATTTGATATCCATGTCGTGCCAAATAACAGGATTGCTTCAATTTGGCACACGCTTCTCGTCCTCACATAGTATATCACATTAAGTGGTTGTTACAATTTACCAACACCATGTTCTCTAGAGACCCATCACATTTTTTTCTCAGATAGGGTTAATTCGATACGAAAAATCACAGTTCTCGAACAAAATCCTTGTTCGCAGTGAATTTTCCTTACTACTAAACCTGTGGATAATACGATCCTTGAAAGACATCCGACGAGATAAAGTTGATTAGAGTCCGACCCAAGAATTAAGGGGGTAAGATGATAAAAGGACCCGACGAAGGCGAACACAAAGTTTTTTGTTATATTGAAAAGAAGCCCACTTTTATAATTTCTGTTAAAAATCCAATGTAATTACTTTGAAGGAGATAAAACCGTTTTCAATTACAAACAACCAATAAAGGCGGTCCCCACTTGCCGATTTGGGGGTCTCGGAAAATTGCGAAGTCTTTCTCTAAACCTGATATTAGATTGAAGCGAATCAAGATTCTAAATATAGTTAGTTGTCAAGTCTGTTTTTTCCTTATTTACGATTTCTGTAGGATAATATCTAATATATTTTCGTAAATTACTGTCAAGAATATAACTCGAGGTAATGGTTACTCATAGAAACAACACTAAAAATAAATGCGTAATTTATACTCACTGATGTAAACGTAGTAAACTGATGTGCAATCGCACATAAGTGTATAAATCAGAGTTTCCTGCTGCGATTATTTGTCTGAATGATTAAGAATTTTGAGGTCCTTTGTGTATTCCTATCATGCATCTATATACAAAACATTTTAACCATACTAAATATACTTTGAACACACTATCTATGAATATCTATGAATGCATTGACTGAAGATCATGTTGCAATAACAATAACCCATTGATATCGTTATATGCCACTACTATGGCCATAACACACTCGATTATTCTTTTTTTTTTCAATATAATAGATAGAATTGATACTATTTCACTTTCATATTATTGATAACCATAGACAACAATATAATCAAGATTCAATAATGTCAACTATTTGACACTGATACTAACACTAATATTGTAGTTATATTAGTATTAGTGACGTAAAAATCATACTACCTAATCTCGTTATTCAATATTTATTATACCTAGACGTTTTTTTATTCCGTACACAGCCAGTCCTTATATCTTGAAACTGCAAAATAAAATCCTAACGATGATAAATCCCATTAATTTGAAATCTTCCGGTTTAAAATTGCGTAAGAGAAATTTTAACGATTTAATAAATTAATGTTCAATTCATATCTCCAGGGACAACCAATCCAAAGAAGAACAAGCGTGGAGATGGTGGCACAACACCGGTCTGCGCGCGCTGAACCGACGCAGGCGCGACGTCCGCGAGACCACCAAGTACATAGAGACCGCTCTTGTTATTGACAAGGCCATGTTCGACAGAAGGAACGGCAGCACCCGCTCCGAGGTCGTCCATGACGCGATACAAGTCGCCAACATTGCTGACTTGGTGGGTTTCCAGAATAAAAACTACTTTGAACTGACTACTATTTATGTTTGAACTGATCTTTTGTATTATTGCGATCTAGAAAAAATACGTCGAACTTTTACATATCTACCGTAACTTTTGTTCTTGCTGCCCATCGCCCATCAAATTAATATCAAATAGTGTAATTATATCTAATGATAATATCGACAAAATTATTGCGGAATTGGAAATATTAAAAAAAAGTATACAATGGACTCACAGAAAAAATATTATCATTTCAAACACTCCACTTCACTAGAGAAGTCATAAATAAAACATCTCTCACCAGAGCACGACAAAATGCACACAATCATTATGCGATAAAATTGCGAGCACCCTCGCATTGCGAGCGGTATTGTTGTCATAAACATTTACTCTGGATGCGCCGTTATAGTCGAGGCTTAGCAGACCGCAAACGGTACGCCAGTGTTCCTAGACACACCCCCACAATCTTATATGTGTAGAAGTAGAGGCGATAATTGAGCAAAAATTCTACGACAAAACGTTGTGTTGACCGCTTCGGCACGAGACGATAAAAAGTAGGGATTACAACGGACCCAGCTGTAATAACACTAGGGTTGACACTTTGAGGCTACAGCTGGAAATTGGATAAACAAAAGTGACATTCCTTCACGGGTGTACGCAAAGGATTATGTCAACGAGATTAATAAAATTGAATAGCTACTGATATCTGGTGTTCTTACGATGCCGTAACGCGGTACAGCATCTACATTTTAACACGTTGGCACTGCACCAAGTCCCTGGAAGAGCTGAATGAAATGAAAAAGTACCTGTACTTTTTGATTTAAGAGTTTAAAGTGAACTTAAATTCTGTAAAGTTACACTCTGGCGTTTCACTGAATATTAAATCAAATAAAGAATCTCTCATGGGTTTTCTTTCTTGTGAAAACTTTTTGGCTACAGCTATTTTACATTTGATAAATGTTAAAACTAGTTACATAAAAAGATATTTATACGGAAAATCTTTTCCTTACTAAATTGGACACATTAAATATTAATTAAAAGCCTATATAATTACTACATTGCCTTTTGGTATACTTTTCGTTTGCTTTCATGAAACTTACTAAAATATTATGATCGATTCATTACATCCTAATCGACCAATTAAAATGTTACAAATTATCTGACATGTATAGTACGTAGGTTATCCACTTGATTTTAAATCTTAATTTATTAAGAGTAGAGTTCAACAGCGCGTTGAGTTATACAAAAAAAACTAAATGCACTGCTGATAGGGGTTCAAAAATAGCTTCGGAAATTAGACATAGGTACCGCAGCAACCAGATGTTTTGTCAGGCCGTGGATGAAATTTTTTTTTTTTAATTTTATTCTTATATATAATAATAATAATTACACCAAAATTTTAAATTTTACACCGTAATTCATTTACAAAAATAAATGAATGTCGATCATAAAATTTACTATAAGCACGAAATCACAGATGAAATATCGTTCCACACGTGAAAGGGTCCAACGAAATCATTCCTAAACTAATAGTACGCAAGAATTACAAAAAAGTTGCTTCCGAACCCGTCAATCTCTAGCGTCAGCCCTTGATTTATTAATGCGCAACTCGTATGCGAGCAGCCTATTGTGAACACGATTGCGTATAACATAGTTTTTCTTATACCTAAAAGAGTGGAATTTATGAGATGGTAAAAATTCCAGGTCCTTTGAATTTTATCAACCATGCTTTTGGTACAAAAATTTGAATATTGACCGTGTTTCTGTTACGCAAATAAAACATTCTGGAAACAATTCTAGACACATTACGCTTTTGAATGAAAATTATAATTAGCTGTACTTGTATGTAATGATTTAAAAAAATACTATTATAACTTATAATTCTCTTTAGATTATAAAAGTATTTGAAATTGAAGCGATTAAAGTTCTATAATTGCTAAGTGAGAACCCACCGCAGCACTGTCTTAACTCTAAACAAAGTTATGGAACATTCTTTAAGTAAAGAGAGCAGCTGCTTCGAACATAAAACTATTCCTTAGATGAGTTATTAATATACCTATATAGATTCAGATTCAGAAGTATTCGATAAAAAATCCTCTAGATTCTATTAATGAAATTATTGTAGTATAACATATATACATTAATAATACACTACGAAATGGAAGCTTCAAATATTCGATGTTGACCTTTTTCTGCTACGCAAATAAAACATTCTAGTACTAATTCTGAATACATACATAAGGCATTTGACTAAAGATCATAATAAGCTGCTCTTTTAGGTAATGATTAATACAAATAAAAGGATTTGAAGCCCTGCTAAAGCATTATAACCCGATGAAATTTCTGTTTCCTCCTTCCAAATTATAATTCTCATTAAACTATAAAAGTAATGTATTTAATTCAACTACCGTACATGTCAAGCAATGAGATTAAGTGCTATACTTAGTTTATTACGTCATGATAAAGTTGTACATTTGCATGGGCGTGCTGGGCTATGCGCAAGCGTTTATCTCCATAAGTTCTCCTTCATTTCGACAAACTTGTACCGTATAGTTCGCGAGTTAAAACACCCCAAGCCTTTTGGGAATAACGTTCGTATGTATCCGTATGAAGAAGCACTTGGCAGTTTATAAGATACATTCTTAAACTATATTTATGGATTCAGGAGTAAATAAGTTTACTTGGTTGGAAAATAATGTTTTAATAAAACTTAAATATATTTGTAGGAAATATACTTTTGTCTTTGTTGTAGTTGTCCACTATTACTAAAACTCCATGAGATAAAATTACAAATAAAATATATATTATTGGTGAAAAGTTATACCATCATTCTTGCAATTAGATGTTCTGGAATTTTACCCGCACCATTTGACAATACAACTAGCCTTGGTTAAGCTAATATCTACTTTATTATAAAGAAAAGTCTTCTCATCAAAGCATATATTACACACAGCTCGAACACTTGATCGTAACTGAGAATTCGCATACGCGTATTACTACTTTGGTTTTCATGGAGCTTTTATTGGAGGTTATCTGTGGCTATTAAACGTCCACTATGGATTTAATTGAGGGCCAAAGATTAACGTACACGAATAAAATCAATAAAAATATCGTAATGTTCCTAATTAAATATAGGTATAGTGCATTTATTTACTGATATCTTCCCACAGTACTTCCGCACGCTTAACACGCGAGTGTCACTCGTGTACATAGAATCGTGGCAGAGCGCGGACCAAGCGGACATAGACAGGAAGCAGGACATCACACGCGCGATCCTGAAGTTCAGTGACTACACCGCCAGGAAACTGTTCAAAATCGATAAAGACACCACGCAGCTACTCACGTGAGTTACTAGCTTACACCTTCAGGTTTAATGTTAAAAAAAAAATGAATATTTTTTCTATACTGGCTATATCAATTATAGCGTTCGATTAAATCCGTTTGTTTCATTCGATATTTGGTACAGATACAAATAAATCACTTAGGTTAATCAACAAAGATATAATATCTTCTTAATGAAAAGTGCTTAAGCAATGTACTCTGTCCCTGGCACTCTGAGATGGGACTCAAACCCATGAGCTTTCGCAATCCGGGCGACTGCTTTAACGACTTAGCTACCCAGGACCTAACATGACTGGTGAATTTTTCAAGCACTTGTTACTTTTTCTCTTCTACAGAGCGTATTTCATCTTTGTTCAGGCAATCCACCCAAACAGCCGAAAGAAATATTTTTGGAAAATATTTAACGTTTCGATAAAAATGATTTTGATCATGTCAAAATCATCTTTATCGATCATGTCATTCGTTATATTATACTGTTGTAGACTACAAGCGTTATATTATATTTCTCTGAACGTGAAAATCTTACAATATAAGCCCTGTTTTCACCAATGACATTTTTATACACCCCTTATAAACACGTATATAAGTAACTAAAGTAATTGAACTCACTGCATCACTGTCTTAACTCTGAACATATACCATTCAATAATGTTATGTAAAAATGTCATAGAACATTCTTTAAGTAAAAAGAACAGCTGCATTGAAAAGAAAACTATTCTACAAAGGGTTATTAATACAAAGTTTCAGCGTCAGAAATATTCTGTTTAAGAAATCCTCAACAACATAATATTAAAGTGGTTCTATAATTGAAATTATTATAATGTGGCATACATGCAAATAAATATAAATTAGGTATACTACGAAATGGAAGCTTTAAATATAGTTTATATCTCGCAGCTTTCGAGAACCAAATTACTGCATAGACAAGAGCAGTTCCTGCGAAACAGCTCGAAAATTAATCTTGAAAAGGAAACGAGTCGTATTAATTCCAGCGATGAACGAATCTGCTTACGGGATTAAAAACTCGTATAATTCTAAATATACCGCAGACGCATAATGCACTGTAGGAGTAATAAATTAAGGTTCGCTTTGGAATATTGAAATAGTACAAAAAGGTAAATAAAAAACCAACGGCACTCGTCAAACTAATTTCAGAGAATCACGAGTTAAACATGATCGCTCGGCAGGCAAAGGAAATCCTGTCGTAGCTCAACTGTCGGCATTTTGAGATGAACACGTTGATAATGAATTTGTGCCACAGCTACGGCGGCAGTAAACTTTCGTACCGTAGCTCGAATTTGTTAACCTTTTTGAATTGAAAATTCAAAGTCTATTCTAGAATTCATGGAAGTACTAAAACGTGGTAGGAATATGAAAATGGAAAAATCTAATAGAATTTTAGTAACCAGAAAAATCAAACACTACTTGGAATGCAGAATATAGTTTAAAAGGAATATTTTCACCTTCATATTATCGGTAATATTTACGAATGAACTATACGATTAACATTCTATATTTTCAGAAATAGATCAACCAAAGAGTTTTCGTATATTATTTATTTATGGGTAATAAATTTTGCGTAAGTTAATCCGAAAATAAATGTAGTGGGGAAAATATATCATAAAAACGTTAGAGATCGCGAGTACACATGTCTAGACACCTATAGATTCAAGACATAGAATCAACCTTAGATTGTTTTTCTTTATGTCGGCTCCCAGCAACGAGCAATTTGGCGTTTCTATCGTCGACCGAACTTGTACAAATCAACCTTTAATTTAACCTTTGCCAATCAAATTAGATAGTCCAAGCCCGTGAGCGAAAGGGTCGAGCCCTTGTAAATACGGTGAATTTTATCTAATTTCCTACCTACCGTCCGTCCATATAATGAGGTGTGTCTGCTACAGAAAATGTTTGGAGAATTATTATTTGTTATATGATGATATAAAATATAATCTAATTTAACATCGTATCCAAATATATAAATGTAATTACACAGCAATGAATTGGTATAATTTTGATATTGCGTTGGCGTTAGTACCTATCTGAATATTTATGGTATTTAAATAGTCATTATCGGAATACGTTGAGAGGGATTTGTAGAATTTATGCCAACACAAGCGCGATCGAGTGGAGTTATATTCAACTTCGACAGACATTTTATCAGTTTTGTAATATTTAATCAGGTCTAAAACACTTATATAGTAAATGTTAAATTATTCCATGATAAACGAAATGCATTCACTTGATTTTAATTTGTTTGTTGCATTTACTAAATTTAGGATAACTTTATCTCCTTAAAAATATTGTATCAATCTACTGAATGCAGATCAATGAAGATTAGCATATATCAGAAAGTTTATCGTTTGTTTAGATCACCATAAATTAGACCAAAGCTAACTGATGTATTGCACGAGTTAAATACTAGTTTGTGATCGGTATAGTCAGTTTGTTGTAATTAACTTCTAAACTATCTAGCCTTTGTGCACGCAGCTGACGTCGTCGCGTCGTTACAACTCGTGTGGAAATTCTAACTGCTCAGTTCTAAAGTTAGAACTCCACCATCTTTGTTACGGTTGTACAGTTATCTTAACTAGGTAGCGAGCTCGTCACAATCGACATTGTTTACCAAGTGCTCACTAGTTAGGTTCAGGTGCGAAATATTGGAACAACTGAATAACACCACTTCACAACTGTAGTTACCCAGTTGAACTTGTTATCGTTGGAAACTTTTCGAATATCAATATTTTATGTTCAGAGCTGTTTTCCGAATACCATGTTTGCGCATTAATAAAGCTTTAAGTTTACACTTTCGAACATAGTTCTCAGTTTATAAACTGTGTTTATATCCAAACGCTTATGTAACACTTTGACTTTATGCTATCTATCTTTAGTGAGTTGTCTCTTATTTAACAAATCTTTTTTATCATAGGGCAAAACAAAGAAGCCATTAACAAATATGTTAGCTTCTACTGAAAATAAGAAGAGGAATTCTCATAATTATACGTCATTAAAGTCACGAGTGTCCTCATTATCTCAAGGGGCAATATTAAAAATGTATGTTCCATGTTTAATTTGGCATAATTACAAAAAACCCGTCACAACGTACCTGGCGCCTGTGTGCTTAATTATTTTAATATGTTAAGGTATGATAATAGTTTTTTTTTTATACTGAATCTATTTTATTTATACGAAATATCGAAGCAATTTATATATAATATATATTTAGCAGGTTATATTATGTAAAATAAATGACCACGCTGGATTATAAATTGATGATATTGATATACAACGCAAAATATGAATGAACTAGAAAATATCAATGTACTAGACAGGACTAATACATACTGTCGAGATCAAATTGATCCTGTGCTATAAATCCCAGTAAACGTGTGTCGTGCTATACCTTACAGAATTCGTGCGGCGTTAAGATATACAATCCTCAATCTATTATAAGTTTGGCAATCTATTACTTCCTATTTATTTGAAAGTGCGATCAAATTTAAATGGTGGTAATTCTATTTTTTGACAGTGGCCTGACTTTCCCTGGTGGTGAATCTGGCATATCAGTACCTGATACACTTTGCACGCCCAAATCCGTGGGCATATCCGTCGACACCAATACGTACGAGCCTCACCTACTGGCTGGAACCATGGCGCATATGATTGGACATAATATTGGTAAGCGTATATTTACTACTCGATAAAAATAACTTTTGAATGCGAACTCAAAAATGCCTCAACATACATAGCATATTACAGTATTTTCTTTCGTGATGCGAGGTACACGGAATCTAAATCTACTAATTTTATTATGATTTGTAAATCTTGTTATCAGGTATGGGACACGACGACGGACGAGAGCAGTGTTTCTGCCGTGACTGGCATGGGTGCATAATGGCCCAGTCCATCGTGGGCTCTGATAACGTACAGCCGTACAAGTTCTCCGACTGTTCGAAAAACGACTACATCAATGAGCTCAGGATAGGTCAAGGATTGTGCTTGCTCAACAAACCTAATGAGGTGAATTAAAAAATATCACACATACACCAACAAATACAAAACAAATAAAATTAATAATTGAACAAAGTACTTAATTTGTAATACAAAGTATCCAAGTAAACTTCATTCCAGAGCTGGTCGACTCCGTTGGCGAGTTATCTACTAAGTCCAATTATAATTTAACGGACACGAAGTGATTTTTGATAAGTCCATAAAATTTGTTAGATCAGCATCCCGCCACGGAACTTTCCGCTTTCAGTCCCCAACAAAGTTGAAACCGTCTGAAACTTCTGTATGACAGGAACTTTCCGGCGCGTCACTGCCACTCGACTCCCCATTAACACGCCACACTTCGTTCCAATGCAAAACAGACTTCCACGTAGAAAATTAATCAGAGGCAAAGCATTGTTTGTCGCCGGTTGGCACCTTGCAGGGCCCACTCCTTTAATAAAAGTTATGGTAATAGGATCTGCCCGCGCAGAGTTATCTCTCCGTTTGCGAATATATAATAACAGGAGCACGCTGGGACGGTTTATTGGAATAAATTTACATAGCACCGAATGATAATGCACCTCCGCACTTCGATTGGCCACGTTTACATATTTATCGGGAGATGAATGTGCGAGTGCTTTATTTTCTCCGATTGTATGTACAGTGTTACCCTGCTCGAGCCCTTGTCAGCTTCTGAATACTCGAGCTATGCAAATCGTCGCTTACAAGTTTACGTTGCTCTGAATTTGTATTGCTACATCTTTGGGCCTGGCATAATCCCTTGCGAAGATCTAAGTTTATATCAATAAACGTAGTATTACTCTTATAATTATATTTTTGCTTATACTTAATCTGTTTTAATAACTAAAAGAAAAATACTTAACTATTTATTGTGGATTTTATCGATGGTCTTTATTTTTATAGTCCATTTGAATTACCATGGTAATATTATGACCTCGAACTCTTAAGTATTTTACTCCTTGTATCCCCGAAACAATTGGATATTTCACACATTTGAATTATAAGTAACACATGATTTATATTGGCAGCTGGTGATTCACCATCAATGCGGAAATGGTCGTTTGGATGAAGGAGAGGAGTGCGACTGTGGAACCATTGCAGATTGTCAAAGTTTGAACCCGTGCTGCGATCCGTTCACATGCCGACTCACCAAAGAAGCCCAGTGTGCCTCAGGGGAGTGTTGCGAAAAATGCCAGGTGAAAAAAGTCTTCTCCTCTTCATTTTTAATTCTTATGATAGTTTAAATCTTCATCTAGGTTAATTTTAAATATTGTCTTGGTCAAGATCTATTTATGTCTTGTATGTTTTATAAAGATTAAGTGCTATATAACTATATCTTTGATGATCTTATTCGGTCGGTATTTGGATGTTACATTTTTAAAAGAAAAAAGATTGCACAAGATTTTTATTACGAGAATTTTAAGTGTTTCACATAGTTTACACTTATTTCCGAATTACCGTATAATAGTTATAAACCATAAAGCTCAGTGTGATAAATAACTATAATTTTATAACTACGGAACTAAAGTAAACTGGTTAACTGTAAATCAGAATAAAGGTGATCGTTTTCAATGCCCACAGCTAAAACCTCGTGGTGTGGTTTGCCGAGATGCCACAAACGAATGTGATCTGGAGGAAACCTGCACAGGGCAGTCGGGAACGTGTCCGCCAGATGCCCACAGAAAGAACGGAGAGCCGTGTGAGGGCGGGAAAGGCTACTGCTTCGCCGGACAATGTCCCACATTGAGCTTGCAGTGCGAGAGGATCTGGGGACCGGGTACAGTCGGAGCTGATAAAGAATGCTTCGAGCAGTTCAACTCCAAGGGAGCGGTGACTGGACATTGCGGGAAAGATAACAACGGCCACTACATTAAATGCGAGACCGAGTAAATAGCTAACTACATATTTAATGTATAGTATATAATAAATCGATAACACTTTCGAGCGACGATGCCGGATATAAAATATTTTTTTCAAAAAAATATTATCTGATTTTTCTGAGAGATAGAAAGTTTATTACTTCGTTGAAAATGTCAAATAAAAACTGTTTTTAATGTATAATTGAAAACCAGAAATTACGAATCAACAAAATCGGAGTTAACTTTTGTATCATTCGCCAGTCTTCAACATTCGCTCAGGAATATTATAAAAAAAATCAATCGAGGCGATGTTAATAATCGGTCTGTTGCTAGTATGTTAGTGACATCTGAGATGAATTTCGAACTTGACTGCAAACAAATCAACTAAATACATTAAAAGACGTTATGTATAACATAACATTGATAAATAAAAATCTGATCGTCAGGAACGTGAGGTGTGGATCGCTGCAGTGTCAACTTGGTAACCGGTATCCGGTGGTGTCAGGAATGGACGAGTACTATACTAGAACTGTTATTACCATCAAGGGGAACGAGTATGAGTGCAAGTATGTGGCGTCACTTTTGCGTTTCTATCTCCTTTTATTATGCGTTAAAATTCATTCAGAACCTGAGACAGTTCTCCTTTCTTGAGAACTTTTACTTTCAATAAAATTATATTTATCTTGTTTATGTGATTTGGCTGAATAAAACTGGAAACTTTTATTTTTATAATAAAATCCATAATTATAAAGTCGAAGTGGTAGTATTAATTTATATCAATTATTTTCGTGTTTTCATTGCACATTAAGAACGCTGTTTACTTTTTTTCAAAGAACATTAACTTCGTTGTTAGAAATAATTCTTAGATTTTAGGTAATTCAACAGCACTATTGTAATTGACATATTTTTCTTGATACAGACACTTTCCTTTATATGAAGACGTCATTTACACGTTACAGGGCGACGACAGGGCTTCCCAAACATTCAGAGATCGGCCCCCTAGGTCTGGTCCGAGACGGTACACCGTGCGGCGACAACTTGGTGTGCGTGAACCAGACTTGCACCTCCATCTTCCCGTACATAGATCACACCAAGTGCGCCACCGACCATAACAATAACGAGTGCTCTGCCAAAGGGGTGAGTATATATTTAGTTCAGTTAGAAAATATCGAAGGTGTCGAAGTCTAAATCCTAAATTCAAAAGCCATGTTATAAATAGGAAAGAATGTTTGTTACATTATCATTTTTTCACGTGATATTTAAATAGTTTTAGCTGTGCTGGATGTTTTATAAATTACTAGCTCTTTTTCAGCAACTTTATCCGCGTAGATTATAACCTTTGTCAAGATGTAACTTCCCGTAGATAGAAGAATTTTCATGATCCATTCGGTATCGCCGACGATTAGCACCTACAAACTGTATGTTTGAAGTTAAAAAAATATCTCTTTATAATGGAATATATTTAACATAATCATCATTAAACCAAAAATTTTAGTAAAATAAAAGTCAATAATACTTTCGCATTTTACAATAATAAATTAGAACTACAGCAAAACTATAATTTTAGAATGGGTTCTAACTCGTCTATTTCAATGTTTGTTCAAAACTAAATCTGGTCTAACTCCACAAAACGACTTCACGGGGACGACTTTTTAATAGTTTGAGTGCCGTATCCCGGGTCCTATTATTCAATTTTATACTTTAACAACTTAATCAATTAATGTCAAAACGTTGAGCCGTATAATCAGAAATATCCTACATTTTTATTACTATATTATTGTTTTTATTTCGACACCAGCCTATTAATGTGCCCACAGCTGGAGCTCAAGCCTTCCCTATGGATGGAATTAAATTGAATCGAATAAGGACAGTGGGCCATGGGTCATGTCGCAGGCCCAGTGCGGTTTGATTATAGTTTGGTATTAACGACTACAGATACAGCCGGGATCAACGGTTTAAGGCATGAAGGAGTTAGAAATAATTAATTTTTGGTCACCCATCCCATAACCGGCAATTACGAAAGTTGATTAACAATCGTATCGCAGACCGAGCGCACTAGCCACGGCACCTCGATTGTATTTATTTAATAACTAATCATTGCCAAATCAAATGCATTAGTAAACAAACTGATGACTGCTGACTGTTGACTTTAAATTCGTTTAAATAAATCATCACATATATTATTATGTTATACTCAAAACCCGAATTATTTATAAAGTATATTATAAAGAGGTTATTTCACAATTTTTCCGTTTATTCTGTTAATTATCTATTTTAGAAGGAACATTGATAAATACGGTAAATAGAACTACCTTCTTCATTAATTATAAAGAATAATAAAGTCTTGAATCAAAACACTCGACTAGTAACTAGTAGATATAAATTTAAGCAAAACATTTTTTTGTAAACATTTGATTACGCACATAAAATTAATCTACGAAATTTTAATGTATAGGCATACATTAAAATTCGATCATTATAAGAAAATCGTTGCGACCCTCTTATAATGTTTATTCCTTCAACAAGGAGCATCGGAATCAAAAGGATCTCATTAAAGTTTCCAATGATAATAGAACTTATTCCATTTTAAAATCAACACCGACGTCGCACAAATTACAGACGAGGACGTGATAAGTGGTGATCTGTTTGTATAATTTAATTTTTCCTCTTCGTTGTATCGTTTTCAGCGCTGTTTATATATTCAGCCCCACTTTTTATTGCCGATGGCAACTTAACATGATGTATTGTACCTTAGATAAATTCGAATGAAGTTAAATTTCAATGTAATTTTGTAAATACGTATGTTATCCGTTCTAATTTTATTGGGTTCGAAGATCTACTATGCTTTTCTGCTAAAAAGCAACCTCAAACGTCATATAGCTTGAATGTAATATAACCTTTATTACCTTTAAAATAGGTTATATTTGATTATATTTTATAGTGTCTCGGTTTAAAACACAATATTTTCTTTTATGCATATGATGTCTTCATTTTTACAATCAATATTATAGATTTACTTTATGGTCAAAATTTATTATTCATAATCGAATATCAAAATATTAAAAATATTTCTAAAACTCAACATTCGATCTACCGCCTAAAAGGCAAACAACAAAATTGGAATCTCTCTGCAACGCATTAAATAGGAGCAGTATAATAAGCGCATCCCAAACTTTGGCCAGGAATTGCCTAGTTAAAAGTCCACAACGATCCAATAACTTGCATGTAACGATAATACCAGCCGAGCAGGTGGCTCTGCAAGCTCAAAGTACTCCAGTTTAATTCAATTAATAGCACCTCGCACTATTCGTGCATTATTAATTATTACTAGCTCAGTTTAGCCCTGAGCTTACGGTACGGTGCAGTTTTATATGCAAATCGATTTTTTGCTTGGAAATATCTTCTTTCTCTTTAATATTGTTTGAAGCTTTGAAACCTTATATGTATCTCTCGGATCACAAATCAGATGGGGTGCTGCCTTATCATTTAGAAAACTCTCGTGGAGTATCATTTCAATACATTTATTTGAGTCATGTATATCGAGTTACTTATAGTAAAAGAACCTAAAACCGACTCTCCCAATTTTTTAAACATCTTTATTTTGTTGTCGCTCGTCAATGGTAAAACGCATTGTAAACCAAATATTATTAAATTCATTTTTCATTGCATTAATATAAGCTCCGGTAACTTTGTTGGTTGAAACCGGCAAGAAACTTAGCAAGGGCTGCTTTTTTCTCCCTGTTTTACATCATACAAAGAAGTCTTATTAGAAAGTGACTTCATTAGACTATGAAGTTTATGAAGAGGTGATACTTTATTTATCATTTTTGTTCTGAACTAATGTGACAGCTACCAGTTCACCAATATGATTCGTCTGTGTTGTTCGTTTGCAATACACCTACGACTCTTTTTAGAGAGAAAGACAACATCACGATTATCGCTTAGATTCCAATATGAGTAGCTAAAGTCCACGTATTATAGAGTATCTGGCATAACTAAGGCACCACAGACCTTAGACAATGCCGGAAAAGTCAATTTTCTACATTGACCCAACCGATAATCGAATCTAGGATCTCAGAGCGCGTACAAACTCAGCTACGGAGCCCATCAAATACGGACATAGATCTTTTTTTTAATTCAGTCGCCGATCTTCGTCTTCAATTCCTTCCTAATAATAATAAATCTTCCTAATAATAAATACAGAAAAACCTTCTGTATTTATTATTCTGGTAGACCACCTCCAATATTGAATTGTAACAGTAATTAGGAAGGCACTGGCTCCCATTATACAGTTCAAACTAGTATGGGAGACAGGGCTCAAAGAATATTGTCATGTTATTGGAAATAAAGTTATTATTATTATTATTATTATTATTAATTTTTAACATGACTACAATAAAGTTTAATTCATCAATTCTAGCAGCCTAAAAATCGTCAGATAATTTGAAATCATGAAGATTATTCTGAACCTTATAATTAATCTATTTTATTTTACAAAACTGAAAAAAAAAGTTACATCAGCTAATTTCAATTTCACGGAATAATCAACTCAAAAGGCTAAAAAACGCTGAAATTAACTGTGCGCAAGACGTGCCAGAAATCTGTATAGTAGCCATTTAATAAATTCGAAAACTTCTTGCCAGTGTAATAGCAGTATCGTTTTGTTAAAGTCGGTACTTTAAAACCATGTGATTGACATTGAGAAATGCTATATAAGATACGGTAAATATGACGACGCTTGAAGTAGTTTGATACATAATTTTGCAAATGAATTGCTGAATAAAATTCAGCTGAATAATACTTAACATGATTAGATAGCGTAATTCTTGTACAGCTGAATAATACTTAACATGATTTGGTTAAAACCATGTAAAATGCTCACAATGTTGAGACTTCAATCTAGATTTCAAGTAACTTTGTAAGTCAATACAGCTGTATCTCGGACAGGCGTAATTCTTGTAAAGTTACATAAATGTTATTCCCGGTAGACAACGAAAGCGAACTGAATGAAGTTACAACAACCCTCACTCGCTATTTGAATAAAACAGATCAGAGTTTGTAAGATGTGGCTTATACGAGAATTTTAACAAACTTCCCATTACAATACAAGTTGACAAGATATTGTTAGTGAACCTTCCAAACTCTGGATAACTGTGAATGATGCTAGAACAGGTTAAATAAGACAAGAAATATTTTTCTTAACTTAAATTGTTTTGCTTAAATGTCGTAAAACCTTTATAAAACATTAATTCGCTTTAATTAACATTCTACTCTCTCAAGTTTCGTATATTTCTCAGCGTAAATCCGTCCACAGTATCAAACGTTTCTATAACAACATTCTCCCGAGCAATTAGTCGCACATGTTCTGAGTAATTACTATCATTCGTCCTGATTAGCATTTTCGTATTCAGCCGTTGCAATTTTAAGCCTAACGCGCGAAGTTGCTATTTATAAGTCCCAGTTGTGAAGTTTCTTAACGTCTAAGCACATAAATCAGGTTTTATCCGGTACAATTTGAACATACATCTGTTCTGTATGCACACTATATGCATTCGACTGTTGTAACTCAGTAACTTCGAACGTAAGATGAAAATGTATGATGAGACTTTCTCGAAGTCAGTTTTATATTAACTGTGACATGTCCTTCTTGTCCAACATTGGATACATATATGTTTGAAATTTTTCGTATTTAGTTTTACGTTAATTAAACATGAGATTGACTACGTTCTTTAACTCGCGTTCACACGGAATTAAAATAGTTATACCCACACTTCGGTCACAAGCTTTAGATATGCCAAATCAAAAGCAATTATCCAAAACAACATAATTTGAAACGCAAAAATAGCTGACGTGCCATTACCACGCGGTTTAATTTTCGACAATCTCATTTCGGCGAGCAGAATCGTGTTTGGGATATGCGAAATTACGAAATGATCCCAATTAAACTTTGTTGCGGATCCGCATTTCTATATTAACTTTGTATTCAAGGGGCCCTTGAATATATCTCAATCACTGGCAAGTGTTTGCTAATTTTCTCTATGGCTAAGATCAATTTAAAAAATGTTGATCTTAGCTATATCAATTTATTATTAATATATTGGACAAAAATATAAATATTTTTTTTACACTGCGCCATACTATGCCTTTATTACGAAAATCCTTCATCAGAAGACATTTTACTAAGTTTCTAATTACAATAAAATTCATTAAAACCAGTCTTCAACACATTTCAACATTTAAAACAGTTTCATTTTTTTAAGTTTCGGATCTCATCGTCTTCGTCTCAAGTCGGTTAAAGAACTGCTGTCGATTATATCCGATTACAATAGTTAAGCCCTAAATCACTGAAATTATCCGAAAAAGTAAAATTGCATTTCGCTCATTTGATTTAGTCACTGAAATTATTTTCGCACTATTGCGTTACTTATTAGACGAATGTGCATCTGCCAGGTATGTTCGAACCTCAATAAATGTGTGTGCAACCGAGGATGGACCGGCCCCGACTGCTCCCACCACGACGCGCTGCCACCATCACCTACACCCTATGTACCAGACAATGCCACTAAAGCCGCCTATAACATGACCAAAAAGGAAACACCGTATGGTGAGTCGATGCCAGTTCACAGGCGGTTAACACTTTTCTATCAATAAAATTGAATATCAAATAGTTGAATTTGAAATCTCTCTCGATTCTCAATAAGAATTCGTATGATTATTCATTAAAGGTTACATAATGATATATTTAAACACATTTTAATGATGAAAAGTGAGTGTGTTGAAACACGAACCTGCATTAATTATGTACGGTACAATTTATTATACTAATCATTTGGATAAGCTTACCTACACTAATCTTTATGATTTCAGGTTATAATTTTATTTATTAATATTCCCCCTACTCTTAAAACTTATGATAATATTTGTATTAATTGGCCGATTAAATCCGAGCACTGCTTTTCAAAATCCAAAAATTATTCATTATTATCTTCATACTGTATAACAGTCGTTTAAAAATCTTTTGAACCACCACGAAAGGCAATGTAAGTAATGAGTTTGCAAGGCATTGCTCGGAAGGGCAGGGCAGCGGCGCGGGCGGCGCCGGCGCACTAACGCGCGGGACCCCTCTCTTGCAGGTGAGCACTCGGGGAATAAGATGAGCACCATGAACATGGTGATATTGTTGCTCGCCGTCGTACTCTCCGTGTTCGTGGGTTTCGCCTGGATGGCATACTGCTTCAGGTAACGCCCGGTAACTCGGTGTTGTCGCACTGTCTGTCGTGTCGTGTCGTGTTTTTTGTCCCCGCCGGCGCCGGCCGTGGCCCCCCCGCCGTCTCTGACGTCACGCGTGACGTCACCGACCGCTCGGCCGCCGCGACTCACCCCCTTCTCTTTGGGCACAGAGAACTACCACGGCTCGAACACGGTGTTCCTCGTGGCGGTGCTCATGTCTGTGGTAGGGGGGGTATTCATAGTATTTGCCCTGAGCGCTCTCTGCTACAGGTCAGTCGTAGTACACAAAAACTTCTCCCTGTGCCTAAGGTTAGTGAGCAGAAAACAGACCAAAGGTAGTCTTTAAGAAGAAATTTAAATCGTCACCTTCGTATACTTGTATGTTTATTTAGACGTTAGCGTTGGTGTTTCTGTTGGTTTTCGTCGGCGATTGGTTTTTGTTTATTTTGAAGATACATATTTTTATTGTCGTTTACGTTGTGGTCGTAGAGCTAGCGGCGGGTGCGCCACAACTGCATTTGATCTGTGGTTCTGTGTCCGCCGGGGGCCGGGCCGTGCGCGCCCGGCCGCCGACTGCATGCCGACAAGGCTTTCTTCGTTGTATCGAGCGACACCTCGACTCAAACCCTTAAGATTCTGGGCTCTTGGATGTGTGCATTGGCTTATGTGAACTGTGACTCGTTTTCGTTTCCTTTCTTGGTCGGAAGCCGCGCCGCCGGGCGCCCCGGACCGCGACCCGGCGGCGCGCTCGCGTCTATATCTTCCGATTACTACGAATGTGCCGCCACCTGACTGACTGAACACACACGTAACACTAACGATAACCTATGAACCACTTACAGAATTCATTGCCGTCGCGCCACGACGGGTGGTTTGATATTCATTGTTACCGCACTCGAGGTATGTACATGTAACAGACTGAGCTAAATTGGAGAAGATATAGATCGCTCGACTTAAATGTCACCAATCACTATCACTACCACAAAATTCTCTTAACTTTTGCACGAGAAGCGAATGTGCGATGCACGGTTTCTTCTTTCAAGCAGCTGTCTGTCTAGTTAGCAACGCCTTATGTTACTTATAAGACAACAGGATTTTTCCAGTAATCTTCTGCTCAACGATAACATCAACAAATATTTTACGAAACTTATTAAATTCCATCACCGTCATGTCATTTTCAATATTACTGGAAGGACCCACACTTACCATTAAGTTGATAAACGATCTCTTAATATTTTTTTCACATTAACATCAAATTCCCATGAGGAATGAAACGAAAAATTGAAATTTTTTCCAAGTCTAAATTTGTACAAAAATATAATTGAATTTAAATATCCAAAAGCGCCAGTCTTGAATTCAAAAGTAATAATGAAAGAATAAAAGATGATTAAAGATTATATCATATCATTTTTTTTTTACGTTTGCAGCTAAAAAGTTATTAATTACACAGATATAATTAACGTCATTTAAAAGAAAGTTAGAGAAAAAGAAAAAGAAAGAAGGAATAAAAAATGTTTAAACCTAACTCAATCATCTTTTGTTCTTCCAAGAGAACAAACTATCAGTTTCCATAATCAATCAGATAAAGGTGTTCTCGTTGTTCGTGATTCAATATTGTAAACGTAATCGATTGATCTGAGTGTGCGTTCCCACGCCACGCCTGCACCAGGAAAAAGAGTACGCTGCCGAAATACGACCCACCGTACGTGAAGAAGCCAATCGCGAAGAGCTTCGCAGCGGGCTCCACCACCTCCAACAACTCCCAAGAGGACATCTCGCTCGATGGGGGCAAGATGCACTCCTTCAATAACACCTTTAGGTGAGCTCATATTAATACTTTTTCTAACTCTATTTGACCACATACCACCATAACATTAACTCTGGGTAAGAAAATATTTCAGCGTTCACATTATTACAACATCAACAAACATTAAAGTTTGTTTGATTCACTGTTATATTTTTTTTAAATTCTATTCACCTTTATATACTTATTGGTTTTATTTGATATCGAGTTGCAAAATACTAATATAAAATAAATAATAAATTCCTTAACATTCTGCTGAAACTCGTATAGTAAACCGAGTAAAATGTAATTTCTGGACCACTAAAATTAACAATTGTTTCCTTTTTATCGGATCTGGTGTCAAACAGAAATCTTTTAAGGTACGTGGTAAGCTTGGCGCTAGCTCTACCGCGCCTCACCGCCGGCCGCCGCCTTAAGCTTGGCGCGCGATCTCTGCCGCGCCTCACCGCTCACGTTCCGCTTTCACACTAAAAGCTTTAATACAGCATCAATGACATCTCTAGCTGTTCACTATTTGGTGTGTCGAGTGTGACTAAATTCACTAAAAAGCGTGATTCACTTTGTTTTAGCATTTGGTTTTCACACAATAGAGTAAAGTTGTAGAGAATTTCAATTTTGATCACTTAAAACATTTTGCACTAAGGCAGGCCATTGTGTGACTAGTTGCAGTATCTACTTCAGAGTGATACATATATTTAATTTTAACAGCAGCTTTTTAGCATATTTTTCTTCTTTTCTTAATCTATTTACTTAATATATTTTATATTGATGTTACATTTGATATTTTTATAGCCGTGGAGATTCCCAACGGGTTATCTTCAAGCACGGAAATCATATGTCAGGTGCTGGCAATACTAGTAGATATCCGTAAGTTAACAATATTTGCTAAAACAATATGACAATTTATTAACATTTGTGCACGTATTTCTATTAAAATAATATTTTTATTTCCAGAGACCATAAACAAATGAAACGTGTGCATTCTGGCAGTGAAGACGAACCAACGCATTCGGGTAATTGATTATTTATTTATTCCTAATTTCATAAGGTTTCCATCACCCCAGTAAAATTATTATTTTGTTGACTTATAAAGTTAGAGCTATGTTGTTATGACAACTAAAAGAAATCTATTATGTGTCATCTTTTGGCATAGGTAATGAATGATCGTTTGACCGATTATATTTAACGGTCAGTTTCTTATTCAATTCATTCAACAATTAAAAATTGATTTCCCCCTTCTATAAAGATTAATTTATACAAAATTTGAATACCAACTCAAGGTGATGGTATTTCTTGTGAATAGGAGAAGAAGACATAGCTTTTATAGACGTAGCACCCAACTCAATGGCGAAATTGCCTGAAAAAGGAATCCTCAAGAAGCATGGCTATGGTGCCGTGGACGGCAAGGACCGGTGGGGAGATGACTCCCAATCCGAGCAGCTTGAAGCTGGTTCTCAATCCGATGGACAAGAGCCAGCGGGCGCTGTTGCCGATATGGAGTATAAGTTTAAGGTGAGAACTTATGAAAGCTTAAATAAGAACGCGGCATGTCATTTCCGTTGTTTAGCTGTAGTTTTAAAATAAAAATATTTTTTTATAGATCTTATACGCAGTTCGATTCCCGGTCGGATCAATATAATATCGTGTTATTCTGTTATAAAAACAGACTCGAACTCGTTGTCGAACGCAGCGATGTTACTTACTTTATAAATAAAACCTTATAACTTTTGAACTAGGTTTTTTATTGAACCTCTTTGACGTCACAGCTAATTTATTTATCTGGCAAAATTATCTATTTAACACTACTGTGTCTACATAGTGTCTACGTAGATTTTGTTTTCATTATTATACATCAAAAAAATTCGTTGTTTGCATAAAGAGATATTATCATTATAGCTATTTTGTTATAATATTATTCTTATTTCATTTCAGGATCTGAATGGGTACCACGAAAACATAATAGTCGCTTTGAAAACGGCGGCAGCGCAACGCGCGAGCGCGGGCGCCGCTGGGGGGTCGGGGGACCTCCGCGCGCTGCAGGAGTACGAGTACAAGCGCGAGAGAGCGCCTAGCGCTGAGAAGATACACGAGGCTGAATTGCGGAGGTGAGTAGAGCTGCAGAAATAAATTGACCCTACCCTTAACACTAGAAAGACGCGAAAAATAGCTGACCTATAAAGACGGTGAGGAGTCATTTAACCCCACAAACACACAAATACTATTCTAATGTAATAAGAAGGGGTAAAGATATTAATCACAAAAGGCACCACTGGTGTAAAAAAATTAGATGATTTTTTAAAGTTTTTTCAATGTAATCAACCATTTTATCTGATTTACGTTTGTGCATAAAGTGCTGGTCCACACTGTTCAGTCAAAATCTATCTGACCGAATTCGTTTTCAGAGCTTTTCCCTAATATTCCCGTAGATGATAGATTTCATCAAGATTATTCGAAGCTCGTACGGTGCGAGCATCATGCACTTACCTTCGGCTTCTCTTCTTTGCGTTGATTTTGATGTTATGGCTAAAGAAGAAATGTAAAGAATACACAGAATATTGTCACATTATCGTCAGTGCTAGGATTCGTACTTTTAGTATTCAATCAATCATACAAGAGACTTGAACCCATGATCTTTCACAATCCGGCCGACTGCTCTAACCTCTGAGCTACCGAGGACCCAATAAGACTGACGAATCTTTCAAGCATTATTAGCTGCTCGTTTTTTTTAACATTTTTCATTAAGAATATTTTTCAGTGTCAATGTTAAAACTATTTTTCTATGCCTAATACTTACTTTTACTAAAGTTTAGCTTATTTGTTTGAATTTAATAGACTTCTAAACTACTAGACTGATTTAAAAATATCTACTAGAAGTTACGTCATACGCGAAGTGGCTGAAAAACTTTTTATTAAGCCCTTTAAATTTTAATAAGCCCAAGGCATTTGAAACATTCAACAGTTATTGGTCTAAAGCCACTCTATTTCTTAGGCAGATTTAAAAAACGGACTGTGATCCAATGTACCTATTGTGTGAATGTTGAAAATAAACCATTCGCGTTTTTGTTGTATGGGTAGCTATAATATGTCACTGAAAGATATACATAAATTAAACAATATTTCACGGATATCATATAGTCCTATAGATGACCATGTCATAGCCAAATCAATATCAATGTCAACAATATTAATTAAATATGTTTAATAAAAAAACAACCAGTTTTGATACACCTAAATAAGCTACACGCTTATTTTAGGAAATAACATTCTTAAATTACCTCATAATTTTTTTTGTGCCTTTAAAAAAGTGCTGGTTGGAATTGCAAATAACGTGCCGTTCGTATTCTGACAGACAACGCGCGGACGACGAAGAGGACGAGGCGCCGGCGTGCGGGCCGATCCGCATCCGCAACCTGGAGGACCTGATCCGGCAGTTGGAGCACCACTCCAGCCGCCACATGAGCCCCTCCGGCTCCGAGGACATTCGAATGTCCGAGCCCGAGGCCGACCGACACTACCGCCTCGACCCCGCCGACCGCGACGTGCCACAGTGAGACTCTTTCGTGCACATCGCATTACAATGAAGCGTCCATGATTCACTTAGATTTTTTCGGGACTTATATTCAGTATCTACTAATATTCTTATTCTTGTAATATACAAACTAATAAATTAAGTCGCAAGTTTAAATACTGCCATTACTTTGCGTACGTTGAATCAGTCTTAATAATTTGGGGTAATGGTACTGATATATCAACATAATTTATTGCTCAAACACGTTGTATCAGAGCTATAAACAATATAAAATCAGATATATCTTGTATGCCTTGTCTTATTTCTCTGAAAATATTAACTCTGCCATGTCTTTATTTACTAGAAGTGGGCATCATTGTAAAACATAAGTACGAAACGTACGATTAATAATTTTAATTGAAAAAAAAAACTGAGAAACCCCAATAAACTGCTACTTACATCAATCCCTAAAACAAAATAAATATAAAATATAGTCACTCTATGTGTAAAACTATATTTAATAACATACCTGATAATATGAAAGATTTGCCGACTAGACGTTATCGAATATTATTCCGCAGATGGCTGACTGAAAGAAAAAACTTTCTAATCGATTGATGAATTCCTTAACGAAGGATACTTTATGTGCGATTAAAGCAAGAAATGGTCGATACAAGGTTTTACAAATAAATGTGTTGCACTTGACAATTTAAATTGAATTCCATGACATGTTCAATATATTTATGATATCATTCACACGACTTGATAAGAAATTACAAGTGCTGACTTAGTTCTAGTATTTGCATTCTTATGAATACTGATAATCTATGAAATTATTGAGATAATTGTAATATTTTGATATCTCTCATTTTATTAATATCTGCTAAAATAAATTATATATCTTGTACATACGGTAATAATTAATGTTGTTATATTTGATTTGTAAGGTAATAATCAACTGAGTCTTTTCGTCTTAAATGTAATACCTAGTTATTTTCGCATGATGGCTAAATAGGTCAAAGCTTTTATTGCATTCAAATATTATTATTGTAAATATTATTATTATCGTTCGTCACTTTTTATGAACCTGATGTTTGAAAAAAATACATAATAGAAAAGCATTTTACGCCGTTCGGAGACTGCTGCAATTCGTCTTTTCGGTTGGAATGTCATCAACGAGGGTATGATTATATAGACGGTGTCGCGGGCGGCTGGGAGGGAGCGCCGGTGCGGTGGCCCCGGCGGAGGAGGAGTCCCGGTTCGGCTACCCGCGGTTCCGCGGCAGCGCGCGGCACCACGCCCCGCACGCGCCGCTGTTCGCCGCGCCCCCCGCCGCCCCGCACGCGCCGCACGCCGCGCACGCGCACGCGCACCGCCCGCCGCCCGATGACGACGCCCTCTACGAGACCGCCGACCCCGAGCGACTGCGCGACGCGCCCGACAGCGAAAGGTGAGCTGCTTCTGCCTTCTTTAACAAATATTTACTTTTCGTATTTCACTATCTTAGCTTATCTGTCTGTTGGATTGTACGGCGAGCGATATTTTATCTTAAGATAGAGTAAAGTGGGCCTCGGTGGTACACGGAGCACACTTTTACAATCTGCTTTCTATATTAATATGCGATGTAAAATAGTCATGTTTTATAATTCTTGATAAAGAGATTGTTATGGTTTATATCCAAGTCAGTGAAGAGTAAAATCAATATTTTCGGCGTCACGTCGTTTGTTTCTTTTTATAATACCTTACCCTATCATTGTAAAATATAAAAGTATTAATGAAATATCGAACTGATGGTTTTTGACATGCAAATACATACTATGAGTTCGGTATATAGAATTAGTAATTAAATGACGACGTGTTGTCGGAGATTATAGGATGCCATCACCGACAAAATATTTTATCTACACTCAAGTCGAAAAATTTGAATTACGAATTCAAAGACGATTCTATAAATACGCACTTTATAAACGCATAAACATAAAGTTAAAAATAAAACTCATTATAGTACCGCTAACTGTATCATAAAACTCTTTTTAGTACCGCTATCTTTTTTATTCATGAAACTAGTCTATGGTTTTAGGCTGAATATGAAAAAATTGGCGCACGAATGCGTAGTTTGAACTTAATTTCCCGCGCTTCCCATACATTTTTTTGCCGTTCGTGTTTTTGTATTCGGGATTCCAAAAAATTACTTTCTTATAACCTACCTACTTTGTTTAGATAGAGTGAAGATAAAGTGGTGTATGAAACTGCATATAACTTAGGTATTAAAACACTCTAGTCAACCTATTATCGATAAACAGACTCTCGTGTTTTAATACCCCTTCTTATATGACAGTTGCATGAACTACCTACTATAAATGTGGTACCACTATACATTTAACATATTTTAATGGAGTTTTATTCTGAGATATTGCTCCGCATGATTACTTACCCACAACTAACATCACACTATGACAAAATAGGATCGGCGAGCTCCATAGTCTAGGGTTATCATGAATTTTATTTGTTACATAACAAACGAAATGTTACTCTCGTTAATATTATCTTCTCGACGAGATCGCGTTACCTTTGTTTAAATTCTAATAATGTCTACTCAATGGACTTTTGGCTTAATTACGTATACAGAAACATCGATTAATAATTACTAAAATATTATCTGTAATACTTATAAGTAGAAAATGTCTCACGATCTCCGGTCTATAGAATAGAAGCCTAAAGACTCGGAGCCCGCCCGTCAACGCACGCACCACGACTCTCCGTTCCTCTTCTTTATCATTTTCTAGTGATGAATTTATTCAAGCTCAACAACAGTTAGCCCGGTGGGCGAGTGAAGAGGCCGTGCCCGGCGGGGCGGGGGCGGGCGCGGGAGGCGCGGGGGTGGGTGGTGTCGCGGGGGGGGCGCGGCGCTACCTGCCGTCGCCGGGGGGCAGCACCAGCAGCGACGCCACGCTGCGCGCCGCCGCGCCTGCGCTGCCCGAGTACAAGCACTGACCGCCGCCGGGCGCCCCCGCCCGCCGCGACACGACCTAGCCGAGCCGCGCACCGTCTAGAATATACGTTAGTTATCACCGATTGTCTCCCGCCGCCGCTCCATTGTAAATATTATCGAACTGCGGTATCGAAAGCACAGTATGTTAACGTACGACTGAACTTATATTGTATTTGAACGATTTAGAGTATCGCGTCGAACGCGTTTCGTTTCGACGAATAACCTTCGCGCCGGTGGGCCGAACGCCGGACCGAGCCGTTGTTCCGTTTTACGCCTATACGCTTTATGACTGGGCCCGTGCGCGCTCGCCCACCGGCGCGGGGGATCATATGTCTAAAGTGACTCTAAGTAAGACTTATCGTTTTATGGACGTAGAGTTAAGTGACGTTGTACGGTGCCGAGGTCCTGTCGGACGTCGAGTTCGCTCTCGTTTGACTTTCGACAGACGAAGCTCGAGTAGCTTGCAAATTAGATAGGCATTAACAAATTGAGCTGTATCGTAAGCGAAGCTTTAATGTGACGCGTTTCAATCCGCGGACGTCGCTCCGATGGCCGTGGCCGAGCTCGACGTCGCGCCGGGTGAATGTTCTCTAGTGACGTAGATATCGTTTTCGCCGACCATTGGTTCCGTTCGATGTATGAGTTATGAATGATTCCCCGTCGTTTGCCGCGATGCGTCACGACCGCACGCGGAGAAGATGGGCGACGTCGCAACCGTCCCCGGAGAGTCGAACGATCGCTTCATTCTGTATCATCTCTCCGAATGAGCGCCCAACTTCATGACCGAGTTTAAAAGGGTTTAAATGCGACACCATGTGATTGGCAAATTGGCTCACGTGACTTTTAAATGAGTTAACTCATGAAAATCGTTGTTGTAAATTATTTCTTGTAAATTTTATCACTTCAGAGATCTCGTATCACCGTGCACAATAATTTCGTAAACTAGACAGTAACGTACACATATTCTAAAACTAATGTGAATAAAAGTTATTTCGATTTTATCAGAATATCTATTATTATGTATTAACTTTAAACGAATTTATGCCGATTAAATGATGTGAAAATGAATGTTAAATTGTAATATGTTATAGTTTTCTTGTTTATTTTATTGTGACAATTTAGAACGTTATCGTTTCATTCGCATTGATGCTAGGTTAGGTGGCTCGGCCACAAATGTAACTCGTAGCTAACTTACAGTTATAATATTGAATAAATAATAAATTCGATTAATCTCGTATCAGCTGCTACCTGATACTATGTTCATTGGCGCTGTGAGGCTGCCGCGCTCTGATAACGAGATTATTATATTATAGATATACGTCAACTTAAGTAAGTCTAATAGGTACTATGAACACGTACAGGGTAGATGTATTTGCAATACTCTGTTGCTGGGTGCGACCCTCGCTGCGCAGCGTGGAGTCGACGAAATACTGCCAAACTGTGTCCTAACTTTAATACTAGTTGCATGGATACCGTACTTAGCGTGTTGACTCCATGTTGCGTCTGAAAGAAGCTAAGCGTGATTTGTAACTAACTATTTCTTTGGTGTTGGTTAACCTCCATCCGCTCTATACAACATTTTTAATCTTGTATCCGCAAGTTTCATAGCGAGTGTAAGCCACCCAGTGGGCGTCGCGTGCGCGCGTTCGAATCTCCAAGCTTGTCTGTGCGACCGACTGGGCCCGTATTGTGATGGCGAAAGGCTGATGTTGCATTGACGCGGCGGCACAGGCACAGTTTGTACGCGTAGGCCTAAAACGTCAATTGCGAACGGCGCCTGACACCGCCATTGCTCACGGTAGTGCTCTGTTGTTTGATGCGAATGTTCGCAATCCTACTGCGTATATAATGTTATAATTATAACTAGTTAATATCAGTATATTGTGCCGTATATTGGTTTTCTTATTTTAATGTTGAGCTACCCTTCCATCAAGAACACCAAAAATGTTTGTTATATGAGGGTATGGCATATGTAAATTAGGATAAGGTAAATCGAATAAAAAAATATTTAGCGATCACTTATCACTGTTTATGACGATCTTCAGACATGAGTTATACTGTATTACATAACACGTTAATTATATAAGAAAATTAGCAAGACATTATAAAAGAAAGTGCACAAAATCATGGTTAGAGAATCAAATGCCCTTTAATATAAGTACTGTCTGTGCACATTATAGGTAGGTTCAGTAGGTCTTCTTGCAATAATTTTGTTGGTTTTCTTACAAGATATGTCACTACAATAAAAATAAAAACATTGTAAGCATATATTCACATGCCCCACTAGCAAATTTGTAAAAAAAAAATCATATATAACACTGGGTAAATTAAACTGGTCTGTGTTTCTTAATACACACCAACATCTGGCTAATGTTAAAACGTGTCTGACAATAAGTTGGATTTAACTATTATGATAATAGAATATTTTGTATAAGTCCAGGATTATGTAAAGCTAATTTAATCATTCTCAGTGAAATAAATAGCTCTACAATTATTTACATTTCTGATTAGATTAATTCAAATGAATAAAGAAGAGATTGCCATTTCTCGAAATTAATGAACTGTAATTATATAATTCATTACAACACAGATCAGTATTATCACAGAATTAATATGAGTTATAGTAATAGTGAATAACGATGAACTATTGAATTAGCGATGTCTGTATAAAAATTAATGTGGAATCTGGAATTCTGTAGGTTTAACTTGTTTTATATTAGCGATAGTGGTGAGGTGTAGGTGTGCGGACGAGACGATGGCGTGATCGATATGAGTGCTCAATGTATATCATGATTTCCTCAAAACGATTGAGAACATTCGCAATAACCGTACATCACTACCGACTACTGATCTAGTATTGTTAATGTTAAGTGATATTATGTAAAATAAAAATACGAATTTTAAACGAAAATGACGATGAGACGTTGTAATTTTCCGTTTTAAGTTTTCCTTGTAAATATATTTGCTATATGATTTACTAAATGAATGTAACATATTATTAATGAAAAAAATAGATGAACACAAATTTTTATGTTTGTTTTATTGAGAGATCCCTAAGTCGCAGTTTTGAGCCTTATATGGTAGTCAAATTGTTAGCTAATTTTGCTATAAATAAGTATAACACTGACGTCAGACAAATTTCTTAAAATGCCATGTTTTCAATGGAAGTTATCAAACATGATCTTTCAGTTTTAAGAGTTTACAAATCTTCTTTTCAATTATTCATTCACATAGGTAAATATATGAAATTAAAACATTGGTCAGTTTTAAAGTTGTATTTCAGAACATTATAATTATATGGTAATAATGTCCGTACTTTCACTTCTCCTTTTAATTAAAAACTTGGCAAAGTCGTCATTCTGCGGATCGAACGTGTTAATCTTGTCACATTGTGCTGTGGTAGCGACCTGGGCGATCTGGTTCCCGTACGCCTTCACGTCATCTCTCTTCAGCTCCGCCATATACTTGCGTGACTCCATTATAACTATAGCATTATCGCGAGCCATCGACCAAACACTCGGCTGCACGCGTGTCACCATATTGTGTCCCAAGAACACACCATGGAATAATCCTTGAAATTGAGGCTTATGGGGATAATGCTCTAATGCTGAAAGTGACAAAAAGTGAATCTTGCCGTAATCCACGTCGATGTAAGTATTACGATCTTCTCGGAGTAGCAGCGGCACCTCCGGGCCATACTCCGAAATCTTCGCATCGAACTGACCCATCACCATCATACCCAAATTCTTATCCTTCTCCAAATTCATAGCGCTGATATCGAACTTTTGGCGATTCTCCAGTTCGTAAAGCATACGCATCACGTTCCGCTCAGAAATATCTGTCGCTCTTTTATAATTCATTCCGTGCGAGGACTGAAGCATATCCTTGTCATCGCAATCCAACCCGAATGCTATGTAAGGTGAAGATACTATATCACCCAAATAACCTCTATGAAGATATCTGTCTCCGCATTTACATACGCCCGCAGCGAGCGTCACATTCGGTCTACACACTTCGGTTTCCAGCCACGTAAAAGCTACACCGTGCTCTCTAAAATGCTTGTACTCTTGAAAGCAAATCTGACTTGCACTTTCTTTCAAGCGCATATGATAATCCCAGTCAAAAACACCCGCTCTATTGTCGTACCTTACTCCGAGGCTGTGTCTCACTCTATGCTCCCATAGTTCACAAGCATTAAATTGGTTCGTATTACCTGTTGTCCAAAATTTGAAGAGACTTTCCAAGTAATCACGCTCTCGGTACTTCATTTGTTCAATTGAAACGCACGGTAAGATACAGTTCATATATTCAGGGTTCGTGATCATACCTCCAAGCTGTCGAGCTTTAGCTATGATGTACCTCGATGTAGGCGGCCGAAGCAATATGTTTCCATAAACCTCCAGCCAACGTCTCGTCTTTTCTAATAAGCCAAATCTAGTCGTCTTTTCGAAAGCCAAAGACATGAGGAGCAATTGTCTGGCGATGAGTTCGGAACATCCATCGACTACAAAGATATTCATATACCGTCTTGTGTGCCGATAGGCTTGGGCCATAGTTTTTAATAGGTGCCGGCCGTCGCATCCTCCTATGACGAGAAAATTAAGTTCAAAAGCGTTTTCGTCACCATATTTGAGGTATTCTTGCTGAAGATCAAGGGCAGGACTAACACCCCAGAACATATTCGTTAAAGGGTTTATCACCGGACTCTCACGTTTGCACTTCCACTGACAGTAAAGGAATAAAGTGAATTCTCTTTGGGATAAAGCTTTTCAACGTCATGGCAACGCACGCGAGAAATCAAATGAAGCTCGAAGTTTTCAAGCGGCTATTAGGGCGTTGCTATGACAACGATCTATTTATGCAGTTTTTCACGACCAATGAACTGCTACGATATACTAATCGCCATGTTGGTTTGTTTATAAACATCTAACTACTAAACCGAACTAAACTAACATTTTACATATAAAATAATTTGATAATATAAATTGATTTCATGACTTTAAAATAATATAACCTAATTTTACGTTAATATTCGTACAGACTTTATTTAAAGATAATAAATTTTTCTTCCACTTAGAAATGTTTTAATTTAAAACTGTATAAACTTTTCCATAAAATATTAATACAAATAAACCCATGAGAAAAACGTATGTGAAATATTATTGATTTTCAACACACGCTCGAGGACTCGTAATCAGTTGATTAAAAATACCTAATATGAGTACCTCTTTTACTGTACAGAATTAAATTAATACTATATTCCACGTAGATAGAACCTATTGATCGTGGCAGCCAACGTTTAAAAAGCGTTACAAGACAAAAACTTCAAACCAAAAACATTAAACTATTATCTTCTTAAAGAAGTTTTTGTTTCTAATAAGAATCGGTTCGCTCTTGTGATTGGCTTTACGAAAGTTGTGAGGTAGCAAATACTAATACTTTTTTTTTAATTGGTAGCTACTGCTAGGAATTTTTTGATTGGAAACATAAATCACAACATTTTTGTATATAACAATATCTTTATTTAAAACCCTGTAATTAAATCACACGCAATGTTAACAAAATACTGACTCACCAATTTTTTTTAAAATCAAACACTAAAGCACAACACATTGCTCAAACGCAGAATAATTTTAATATACCCAACAATAATTAAAGCAAAATTGATCATGATAAATAAGCATAACTTTTATTCCCAAATACGTAATGAGGTGCTATATAAAGAAAACCGTATTTTATGAAAACTTTACCTCTGCAAAATTAGCCATGATTTTTCTATTATTTTATAATATATCATAGATAGAAAATTTGCTATCCCAAGGTCGTTTTAAAATCTCCAAGGTAAAATTACTAACTGATAACATTCCACTTAGTTATTTTGTTATCTATAAATATTATTCTCCAAAAATATTTCTTACCCTCATATAACCTCAATGTTAAACAAAATAATGTCAAGGCAGAATTCAGTTCGTTAAGAGTCGGCGAACCGAATAAATAAAAGAACACAATATCTGCTTAGTTTACTAATGTTAATTTACAATCGGGTTTCGGATAAAAGTTCACTAGAAGCCTCTTCTGTTGACCGAGATGGAGTAGGAACATAGAATTGTGAGTTTGATACTAGAGGCTGCCTTTTATCATTACCATTAATAAGACCAACTGAACGTGTCTTCAAAAATCTGCTCCTAAATAAATTCAGCCATAAATTTCTCGTACTCCTAGTTCCCAAAACAAAAAACAGAAATAGAACAAAACCTTGAAAGGATGTAGTCAACGTAAACAAATAAGCTGCCACAATATTAAATGCGAAAAAACCGAACACCCATGGTATTCCACACAGAAACGCAAGTAAGCAACTAACAGAAGCATTTTGTAAGCTATCATTTGTACCGCTATGCCGCCGAATTCTGGGGGCATTTTTATACATAGAGTACACAATTATCAAATAAAGGGTCCAGTTTACAAACCATATTATTGAAATAGGACCATACACTGTCAACCAAAGCGATAAGCCCGATGGGTAGCAAAAGTGTCCACTCGGAGTTTTCTCTTCGAATTCTTTCGAGTAAGCCTTGGGATTTACCGCAAGAAGAATTCCGATCACCAAACATGGAGAGCCCCATGCAAAAGCAGAGGCGATCCATAATTGTTTGCGTATTTCTCTGGTAAATATTAAAACTAATTTTCGATATGACAATATGGATACGACCAACATCCAGCAAAACATTGATAAAACAGAATAATGTAATGCTAATCCTACTACTAAACAACGCATGTTGTTCTGATCGAAGCGTGCAAAAACTGTTACAATGAAACAAATATCTAACATAAATACAGCTGCACATAGATGAAGCCATATTTTATTACTCTCATTCCTTCTCCATGATTTAAAAATAGCAGCCGTTATTGCTATAATAGTGATACCGAACAAAGAAAAACTGTTTCCAATAACTGATATTATTTCCAAGAGATTTTCATGAAACTCCGAAAAAACTATTCTTTCTACAACAACTTGAGCAAAATGTGTGACGTGATCACACCGGCAGAGGTCTAACTGATCATCGTGCAAGGCCTTTATAAACTCGCATCCATCGGTGGACCAAGATCCAGTTCCATTTTCGTTAAAATGCCAGTATGCACATGTCCTCGTTTCATTCCGACGCAGGTTTGTTGTAAAAGGAGTCAAGTGAACGTCTACCGTCTGTAAAATAATGTTTGATGGTCACCTGGGATTTCTTGCAGGAAATACTATTTTATTTGATATTAATAATCATTCACTTCATTTAATTCAATATTAAACATATCAAAGTTTCGCAAACCTCTCCCGGGGCAAGGCTTGTGAAGTTTTCGATGTTAATGCTAAGGACGTGACTATTGACGTGGGTATTGGCATAGTCAGCCTGATGAAATGCACGCCCGTTCCTGAACACCACGAAGCTGATACGACGTGAAGAAGCTGTCACGGAAGATGGTAGAAATACGACTGCATCTGTATCGTGGGACGCCAGGGAAGGATTCTCTTCTGGAATTGAAAAAATGGAATTTTGATTATTTCTTTTTTAAAATATCCCAACAAAAAATTGAAATCTTAAGTGCGGGTTTCCTTATAAGTATCCAGTTGAAAGTTAAACATACATCCAAAATATTATGTTCCATCTCTGTCTTGTATTTATTTGAGTTCGATAAATTTACTATTTTTAAAATGCACACTGTGCTACATACATTTGTGTTTCAGATATCGAAATATCCAACGAAGATGGAATTTATCTATTAAAGACATTCAAATATTCAGGAGAGTCATTCCTAGCACATTATCCTCCTATTCTTCAAATCTTTAAGGATCCACAATATCCATTACGCCTAGAGTTAAAATTTTCTAGCATTGCATTTTTTTATAGAATAGAAACTTATTTATTCTACCTCATTGTAAAGAATAAAACATACATTTCACTTTGAAAGCTACTTTAAATTAATCAGAACACAGAATTTCTACTCGTTTCAATAAGTAACATAAAAAGCTTATACTAAACGTACGTTAGACCTCATCGACCGTGCTAAAATAAACGGAAAAAACGAATTCTAGAATCATATGTAAGAGCATACATACATTTGACTGCGACATCCGAGCACGTTGCGCTAGATACATTCTAATAATATGTTTTATTTCACATGTCATTAATTTTCGAGGTAAAAATAAAATTCGTTTCATCCACCTTCTGCAGCTGTGAATCCTTATTCTAGAACACTCACGTGTGACAAATTGAAACGTATCATTTTTAAATCCGCCACTGTATTCACTGGCGGTGGTGGTTTTGAGTCTGACGCCTCTGATGGGGTGGTTTGGTTCATTGTCAGCGACCAGCAGCGCCACATTATCACGCACAGTAGCACCACTCCTACCCTTCGTCAGAATCACGCGCGCACCGAGTTCATCCAGCATATGAAGTAGTGATCCAGGTATCTCCACATTATTGTCTTCTTCTAGAAGATTATCCACCTACATCATAACGTTTGAGTATTATTAACTATTTAGCAATGGCAAACGATCGATCGCGCGTGTTATCGAAATACCCGGGTCTTATATAATCAGTCCCATTGAAAATATACGAATTGATTCACGTGGCAACACGAAGGATGGGGCGAGGTATGTAGCAATCAGACTTTCAACACTTCTCGTTAAACAAATTGAAAGGTCATAGTTTATTTTTATTTTTCTCTGTTTTTAAAAAAATATTTTAGTGGAAAGTGACCTCGTAATCTAATTAAGTCAGTTGTTGCTGACATATACCTAATCTCTATATATGTAAAATTCTCGTATCACAATTTTCGTTCCCGTACTCCTGCGAAACGGCTTGACCGATTCTCATGAAATTTTGTGAGCATATTGAGTAGGTTTGAGAATCGGCCAACATCTATTTTTCATACGCCTCAGTGATAAGAATTGCGGGAAACCGACTTCAACGTGGACGAACTCGCGGGCGGCCACTAGTTAATTTATATTAATGTTGGCAAAATGGCAAAAAAATGTTTGACTAAAAATAATTTTAACTTTGATTTAAAATGTAGAAATAATATCCAAAAATCTTAAAATAAAAAGTAAACTCACTTGATCAAAAGCGTGTTGAATTTTTTCGGCAGAAAATGGGACAGTATCATTTTGAAGTAACATTTCAAGGTCATCCAAAATTTGCTGTACATGTTCATCGATCGGAACCTGGAGAGAGGTGTACATTTAACCAACTGTATTGCCAATACATATAATACGTTACACTGGCAATACGGTTGAATTTATTAAGGAGTATGCTGATGCTAGGCAAAATAAGATTAAACACACACTATGGATAATGATCATGATTATAAAACAGATCATTATTTAACGAAAAAAATAATTTATGCTGAAAATATTTACCCCCTGCATGTCCTCATCGGCATCCTCGTAATCTAAATAAAGCTCCTCACTTGTCATCCTGTCATCCTCGTCAGCATTAGGATTAGACTGAAAGATAATCATGAAGCTGATAGAATTACAAAATGAGACTCACTAATACTCGTATTGCTTATCAAACCTACTTTCCGAAAAAGACGCAATGTTTCTGACTCGCGTAGGTTCCAAGAAGAACTTCAGAATAAAGATAAAACTGTTTCATATTATACAGAGAGATTAGGAAACATCTAACATTAACTTACTCTTACAATAATCCATCTCAGAGTACAATAATCGGTTTCACTTGAAAACAGAATTACAATGAAACTCTTTCCCTGCAACGGCTTGAATGTGTTCACTGCCACCATATTTTTATCGTAATCGGCATCGTTGATCTCTAAAACATTATTATCCACTTACTTATTTTCTTCATTAAATGAGCAAGAGATTTAATAATAATGTGCTTATTGCTTGAAACCTATAGGTGAAATCTGAACATAAATCTAATGAAATTATCATGATGGCTGAGAATCATATTGAATTTGACAATATATTTTAATGCGATAAAGAAGACTTGCCTTCAGTTAAGAATTGAAAATTTTCTTCAGATTCAGGCGCTTCACAGCAATACATAGAGCCGCATATTTTATACCACATTTTAACTCCACGGACTGGATACTCTTCTAATGAGTCTACAACCAAAAGGGCAGTCCGGCCATGTGTAAATACAGCTGTTTGACCTTTAAACATGTCTGTCAAAAATATCAATTCATGTATCTCACTTAGAAATTCAGTGAGCACGTCATTTTCCTTTTCTGTATTATTGTATGCAGATATTATTACAGGCGTAAGGTCTGAAATCTGAAACAAAACTATATAATTAGTAGTTGCTTGTTAGCTGTTATCCAGCGGCTTAGACCGCGTAAATTATAGCATATGGTTACCCACATATTAGCTTAATAAAACGAATACTGTATTGTATACAATAATCAATATGATAATTGATAAAAATTTAGAAGTATAACTGCGATAATGCGCTTTAGAGTAATGTCTTTCAGGCAGCGTAAAGCCAAATTCTGTGTATGACGCTCCAACGGTCTAGACATAATGTCGCAGTATAATGCGTCATCGTTAATAAATATATTATGGTGTTTTGAACGTGAAATAAACAGTAAAACACCATTAAGCTCGCAACTCTCAATCTTATTTATCACGCTTTTTGTTTTACAGTGGAGTTAGTCTGCTATTTTCAGAAAAAAAATATTGTTTTATTGCTAAATTGGTATAATTTTATTTTGACGTTACTCAGACCACCAATGATGTTTAAGAAATTATGGAAAATCGATCAAGAATCACCTACAGCTATCTAGGTACGACAAAATGCTTGATTTGTACTAGCTTTCGCAAGCAGCTCCGCCCTCGTGTTCCCTAGGGAAATATTTAGTGGGTTAAAAAATATCCTATTATCCAAGTCAGCTAATACCCTATCTGTGTACCAAATGTCATCAAAATCAGTTCAGAAGTTCAGAAGTTTTGACGTGATTGACGGACAAACATCTAAACGAAGAAACTTTCACTTTTATAATATCAATAGGATATTGAACTGGACTGTTAGGAGACTGGTTGATCGAGAACCGTCGTTCACTTACCATGATGACAAGTCGTTCCAAACTCTCTAAGGATATCAATTTGTCCTTATATTGAGTTGACAGTTTCCTAAGTGCTTCTGTATAATTCTGAAGAGTTATAATCTGAAATATTAATATATGACTTTAGAAAAAAATGTAACTTTACATTATAATTCATTTGTTTTTATTTATTCACATTAGGGTAAGTTTGCAAATGAAAGTTATTTTGTATGCAAACAACTTATTCCCAAAAGTTTAGACCTGAAGTATTTGCTACACCTAAACTAAATAGTATTGCTCAACAAGTTGATGAAACTCACGCCATGACAGAAGTCTCATTGCCTCTTTACTAAAAGGGGTTAATGCACCGGCGATTTGGCCACCGATTCCTAGGTCACAGAATCCTACATGGTAAAATATGATCGTCCATCTTCTTGGGTTGGCATAAAACTACTCTACACTAATAAGTATTTTAGCAGCCCATATCCCCTATACTTAGGCACATAGAGGAGAGTCCACATAACTGCCAGGTAGCGTAGTTTCTTTGCAACAAAAAAGGCGTTTCTAGTTCATTATATTTAGACTATTTTTATTATCATTCGTAATTTTAAGGGGGAATGCAGTTTCTGTCGATACTGCAACCTTAAAAGAACTAAGGTGACTCGTCGCTCACATAGGAGATATTTTTGGTGTTTCAAGTTCCTGTTTGCAATATCTGCAAATGTCTGCAGGTGTCTGTTTAATTTGCAGTATCCAGTTAAAGATCGTATTATACATATACTTGTTTTGTCGAACTTTTAAGATAGTTTTGCGAATAGCCTTAGATTAATTTATTTTTTAATTCTTTTAAAGGTCGTTCTTGAGGGCGTTATTAGACTTTGTCCTCTTGTGGATACACATCCTTGTGTATTACCCAACTCGCCTTCAGAAGCACCCGAAAGCTCAAACTAATTGTCAAACGCCTAAGTAACTGAACTAAGCTTTTTCCTACATCCTTATCCATATACGGCATCTATTATAATTTAATAGCTATTGTGAATACATTTCTATAAGAGTCTTCTGACATGGCGCGGACTCTATACTTAAAGAGATAATAATGTTAAAACTCTAACAAAAATATTATTTTGAAAGTTCTCTGTAGATAGATAAAACTAGGGCGAGAATTTCGGATTCCTAGAATCTATTAGGTACTCAATTTAATCTACCACGCGTTCATTATTCTAAATATGATTATTATTCATCAATATTAATTTAAAATGAAAACTTAGTTCACTGTCTATTTTTAGTTTGTATTTTAGTTGTAAAAACATTAAGTGTTCGAGCAAGACCTACATACACCCTATTTTATAAATGAGGATTTTAAACAAAGAAATTTGTATAGGAATTGTAATATTGTTTGGCAGTGTTATTAGCTTGTTAGAAATGTCAAGCGATCCAACAATAAAGTGTTAACACAGAAGCAGAATAAAAGTTTTATTACATAAGTTAATAACAAATAATATGTAACCGCTAATTAACTCACCCGATTTTTTTTATCAATTTATTGAGGCTAATTTGAGATGACAACTAGGACACGTTTATTAACTATTTTGTGCATAGTAATTAAAAAATTAATAAACGTTTATTTATTAAGGTTTATTGACGACTTTAACCTCTAATAAATAAACACACCCTGAAACCGACGTGCGTACCACTAGGTCGAATTTAATATATAATTTAGTATATAATTCGACCGGTTGAGTGGTAGAGAATGAAGTCAGAAATAGGTTGAAGTCCGCCATTTTTAAATAAATTGTTCGTGATCATTAAAATAAAACAACATTTAGATATTGAATCATCATATCTTTATTTTCTCTAATATTAACATAAATGCTTTTAGCAACAGACCTATATAATTTAGAATATGCGGTAAAATATAGCATTTCATTTGTTCTCTTAATGTTATGCTTAAAATAATAGCGACAAAGATAATAAATAATACTGATTTTTAATAAAAAAATATTCGACACGCGAGCTCTTAGCAATATAATTATCGAATTCCCATCGAGCACTCAAATTTTTGTATCAAAACGTGTACCTACACACAGCAGCAAGGATACCACAGCTGATAATTTATTGATTTTAAACTCAACTCATCATTTTATTAAGATTAAAAATCAAGATAGCCTGTACGTTTAATTATACAGCAAGTACCTCAACTAAAGGAAACTAATATTTCAATACGAAATTTTGACATATTTGCTATATTCTAATAGATTCGAGCTCGACCATTTCAAGTTCAAAGGTACTGGGTACTCTATTATGGATAAATGTATATCATAATTTCTGAGTACTATTACAGCTGTAAACTAGACTTGCAATCTGTACGTTCGGCACACGACTTTCCTTCGAAGATTCGACGAGTTTCCTGCGCGAATAGTGTTTTATTAGTATTTGGTATTCGACAGAATAAAATAAAAGTAACCTAGCTCGAGTTATATCTCGATTCCTATTAAATTACATTTTCGGAGTTACAGATTAGCCATCTCACTCATAAAGTGAAGTAATAATAAACTATATTCGAAACTTCTTTAACATTAACTTTTTATTCTTAACAAGAATCTTTATTACGTCTAAACATAATGTAGCTATCAAGTAATATATGGTTTAAAGAAGTGTCCACTTATTTGCGTAAGTGTATGACGCGGACTTTATATTAAACCATACCATTTTGAAACCTTAATGGTCACCAGTTTTGAACTTCAAACACATTAAATCATTTAAAATTATTACACTTATGTTTACTTGACAACATATTAGTTTCTTACATTATAAATATACGGAAATAGAAGATAATATTTTGTATAACAAAGACTAGATTTATTTATCTTCGAGACATAATATTTTTAGATTATATAAAGCTGTCTAGCTTATATTTATCGAGTTTGTTGTGCTTAATTAATTTCATAAATATAAAGTACAGGTACATTTTTAAAACTACACTGGGATCTTTGGAATGCAATTAATAACTAATATGATAATAATTTTACAGTTTGAATTCAGGCAAAGAATAGTTTAAAGAATGTGTTTTTTTTAATTCAATTATACATAATAGAAAATAAACCGAAAAGCTTAATTAGACTAGAATCTAAAATCTAAACAGCTACGGTCGCGTACAAAAATAAAAAGCACGTTTCTGAAAACATAACGTTACAAGTCTCAATAATACATTTCTTCCTACATGATATTCTCGGATAGTCGCTAGCGTCTATCAGTCGATGGGAGCGCCAAAAAAGAACTTCAAAATTACGTTAGTTAATATTGTTAATAGAGGACTTGAACGTCCACATTACACTAGAAAGTATCTAGTATAATATTCGGAATACATCGAACAGGAGCTATACCGGAAAGCATTCCCGGTCGAAATATAAGAATCCAAGGCAAGGGGACGGGCGGTAGTTGTGAAAGACTCCCTAACACGAAGACGGCGGCGGTCAGGAGAATCTCGAGTCGTCCGGGGAGGACAGCGACCTCGGCTTCGTCGTCTTCGCGTCCGTCGACACCGGACTCGCCTCCGCCCCCCCGCCCCGCCACCCGGGCCCCGTGCTCCTATTCGTGTACGTCGATGACGTCACCGGCACCTTGCGGGTCTGCTTGATCTTAAGTTTGTTCAGCCACAGATCTCTCGTCTTCTTGTTTCCGACGACGAAGAATAGGAAGAGAACGAACCCCTGAAACGTCGCCGTGAGCGTGAACAGGTACGCGGCGACCACGTTCGACGCGAACAGGCCGAAGATCCACGGCAGCCCGAACAGGAACACGAGCAGGCAGCTCACCGACGCGCACCGGAGCGCCTCGTTCGAGTCGCCGTGCCTCTGGATCCTTCGCGACGCGAACACAGAACGGACTATCAGAGCGAATAGCGTCCAGTTCGCGAGCAGCATCACCGCGATCGGCGCGTACACGGCGAGCCACAGGGCGAGCCCGGAAGGATAGCAGAAACTGCCGCTCGGGGCCTTCTCCTCGAATCGGCCCGCGTACGACTGCGGGTCGACCGACAGCAGGATCCCGACGACGGCGCACGGCGCGCCCCACGCGAACGCGGCCGCGCGCAGCAACTTGTGCGACGCGTCCCGCGCGAACACCACCACCAGCCGCCGGTACGACAGCACGGCCGCCACCAGCATCCAGCAGAACGACGCCAGCACCGAGTAGTGCAGCGCCACGCCCACCGTCATGCACGCGGCCCCGTACCGCTCGAACCGCGCGAACACCACCACCACGAAGCAGACCGCCAGCGCGAGCACCGCCCCGCACAGGTGCAGCCACACCTTGTTGCCGTACTCGCGCCGCCACGACCGGAACAGGCCCGCCGTGAGCGCGATCACCGCGAGCCCGAACATGGACACGAAACACCCGACGAGCGAGAGCACCTCGAGGGCTCGCTCGTCGCGCTCGGAGAACAGCGTCCGCGGCACGAGCACCTCGGCGAAGTGCGTGAGGTGCGTGCAGCGGCAGGTGTCCAGCAGGCCCGCGCCGCCGCGCAGCAGCTGGCAGCCGGCGCGCGACCACTGCCCGCCGCCGCCCGCCGCGAACTGCCAGTACGCGCACGCGCGCCGCGCCTCCCGCCCCGGCGCCTCCACCAGCGGCGTCAGGTGGATGTCTATCACCTGCGGGGAGCGATGGCGTCGATCAGTTTTCGAGGAGCGAGCGGAAGCGATCGTAAGCGATATCGACCCATATTTATGCCCAAATTTATCGTTGACCGATACTAATCCTCTCGTTCGGCTTCCCGAAACGTGCCCCGGTTTTCGCGATCGCCTTTGTCTTCGTGAATGACTCGATGCGAACTATAGGATTATATAAGACCGCCTCCATCGAAAGAATTATAGTGTTTCTGAAGAAAGACACGATGAAGTCTAATCCCGCCCGAAACCCAAAGCTATCGAACATACAAAGCCTTTCACCCGAGACGACACCGTTTATTAAGCCATACCATTTTTAAGCGAATAACGAATAAGCTGATGTGATTCTTTCGATGGAAGCTTTCGCTTAGAAGCGACATCATTTTTACCTCGACCCTAATTCATTCTTCACTTCTTAATATGATGAAAAATGTTCAACATGATTTACCGCTATTTGTTTTTTCAAATAAATAGATTTATTCGAAAATATTTGCCTCTCCCTTCAGGCGTTTCCCGTTATATCGGCGCATCTTTTCAATTGATTTTCTGGATATTTTCATACAAATAGCGATCGGCTCGTCCGACATCGAAAACATCTTCGTTATAAATAAAATCCAGAGTATGCATTCCTCGAGAACCGCCCGAACAAATCTAATTCGATATAAAAATATCTGTGTATAAAAGTGATGCAAAAATCTCAATATAATAATATTCTAATTCAGTCGAGTATAGAACTGACCTCGCCCTCGTCGAAGGTGGTGAGGTTCTCGACGTTGACGCTGAACACGCGGCTGTTGACGACGAGGCTCGAGGGGAAGGCGCGCTGGTTGCGGAACGCCACGAAGCTGACGCGCCGCGGCACGCGCGACACCGACGCGGGCAGCTGCACCAGCGCCTCCGTCTCGTTCGCCACCAGGCTCTCCGCACCCACATCCGCTGACGATCGAATTAGGTATTAACTATGCACGTGTTAGCACTGGCGATAGTGATCGCCTTAGCTATCATTTATCTGTTGTGGCGTCACTGTCGTAGCTCTGCCAAGAATTGGGTCCAGAAGCAGCTGGTGCGGCCGAGTCTTTCGTTAGTAGAAGTCCAGACAATACCGAACTATGTCACGACAACTCAAGCTGCTGGTTTCTAAATTTTTTTTAATGTTTCTAAGTTTTACAGTTTGGGTGATCATTTTTTGTTTTAAGGGGGGAGTACTGTAGTTACTATAGAATATGTGTATATAATATTGAATATAAATGTAGAATAAGCAAATTTGTTGTAATAAATTGTGAATCAAAAATCTTTTTAGTCAGTCGCAAATGTATAGTATTAACTCAACGTTTATTATTTTTATTAAAACCTTCAAATAATTGATACGGAACCCAGTAACTCTTACATCGCGGATCCTTCCAATGATATATTTCATATTTAAAATATCCATTAATAATTACTTCGATAGTTTTATCGATATTGTAAGATTACACGTCCAGGATATAAACTACAAAGTAACTCATATGTACTATATTAACAATTTTGATTATTAAAGGAACGTCATTACTTAAGATGAAAATTATATTTCATTAAAAGATTTTATAGGTTCTGACGAAAATTATGTTGTTTATGATAACTCGATGTCTTCATTTTTAATGAAAATTTATTAGAATATTAATTAATTTTGCTTACAATCAAACAAATTGATTATAATAGTTCGATTTAGATACGTATCCCTTTTATTTACGATATTATTATTATCGTAAATAAAAGAACCGCCGATAAAATAAGATTTTGGATTCGCAAACTAGATGCGAGGAAAAAGTGCACATTTTGTCAATTCGCAAAAGATATTCGAAGTGAACACCATTGCTTTTAATATGAGAGGCAGTATTCCTAGCAACCTACTTCAAAGTCAATCTCTTAATTAATAATTTCATTAATGATATTTAAGATTCAAACTATTAAGAAAAAAACTCACAAGCAATAAAATGAAAAGATTGGTTGTCAAATGCATCGTTGTCCCTGGCAGCGACACGCAGGCCGAGCACAGGATGGGTGGGTGACACGTCCGCTAGTAGTAGCGCTACATTGTGCCGAACCTCGACGGCGGTGGACTCGCCCTCCTGCAACTGCACGCGTGCGCCCAGTTCGTCCAGCATATGCAGCAGTTGCCCCGGGATCTCCAGATGCTCGTCTTCCACGTCCAGGATATCATTCACCTGAAAGTTGTTTCATTGATGTAGCACTTCTGTTGTTTCTAGACTATTTTAGACGTTTCGGATCTTCTACAGTTTCCGTGTTCGTGAAGCAAAACTATTTAAAAATGAAATCAAGAATACACTATTTAATTTTTTCTTGATTGAATTAAAGTAAAACATATATTTTTCCTAACGTAAGTAAATCATTATAATCTTATTACTAGGTTATTGGGTGCTAACGACTACAGTTTCAGCTAAGACCCTTCGAAATGCCCTCCGAAGAAAAAGCAACTAGAGTCATTAATTTTTTTTTCCAACCATCCTATGCTTAACCCTTAACCCCTACAAAACAAACACGCTAACCATTGCACCATCGAGCTCCTTACAATATGCAAACTGTAAAATACTCAATGTTTTAAACTTAAATATTCTCAAAAACTACCCAATCAGAAAATTTAAACCTATTTTTTTTTAATAAGCAGATGTTTTTATTTGACTACAATCTGAAAGTACGCACCTGATCAAAGGTTGTAGTAATGCTCTCCAATGGTAGCGTTTCGTTCTGCAACAACGCTTCCAAATCTTCAAGCAACTGGTCCAGCTGTATATCCGGCTAAAATAAAGAGACTGCAATTAAATAAATTCTATGAGGGTTCTTAATTAGTCAGTAAGAGACTACTAGCCTCTTCATTTGTAATAAGTTTTCATATATACTCGTATTTATTATATGTTCCCTTTTTTATTTATTTGGAAACTCAAAAAAAATGAAGTATTACTAAATTAAATCAGCCTTAAATTAATTAATTATGAGGAAAAGCTGTTAGTTCACAACATGCAGACTTACAGGCAATGACGTGGTTGGAAGAGGTAACGCCGTTGTAGTTTCACTATACTCGGTAGTAGCTTGTGTTTCAGTGACGATGGGGGGTATGGTGACAGTGATGATCAGATCAGGGGATGTCGTGACAGTAATGACTTCGCTGATAGTTTCTGTTGTAGTGTTGACCCCCTCGGGTGGACTGGGTTTTGGACGCGGAGAACGCGAATGATATTCCTCAGATGAGCTCTGACTATCTTCGGTTGTCTGCTGCTGTTGAACCTTCTATAATTGGAGAGTGTTGCGAATGAGGTTGTGCAAATACAAAGGTTAGCGTATGAAAGCGTTTTTGTTAGTGGTTTAATTTCAGTGTTGAATCATAAATGCTGTGGCTTACATCAAACGATGTCACGAAACAATTTCATACTCAAAAACATTTGGTGATTTAGAAATTTAGCCATATTTCCTCAAACAAATAGCCATATTTCCTCAATCTGTTACCTTTTCACAGTGACAGAAATAAATAGTAAATTAAACTATATAACCTGTTTTAGAATTAATGAATATTGTAGAATGTTATGCATTATATGTCAACTTAAAGTACATATACCTATTTAACCTAGGTAATATTGTTAATAAACTCTGAAGATATAAACATATTTCATCACGTTTGTTCACATAAGACTTTCGTGAACACGGAACCTGTAAAGAAACCGTTTAAAAGTTGTTTCATTTATAAATATTGCGTGTTATATAAATCCATAAAGATTTTCTTATTCCATAACCGATCAGCAAACAGTTCAACTTACAGCCATATCAGGTAGTGTATTGGGCACAGTGACATCTTCAATCCCGTATAACTCGGTGATCTCGACAGGTGTAGGGTTGTAATCTCGCGCAAACGACTCCACCCACTGAACACCCTCGTTGAAGTCGCCAATGCACGAGTACATACGGGAACCAGTAGTGGTCACCGATTCACCTGGAAAAGTTTACTTCTGTCATTCTTTGACTTGCAAAGTACGAGAGTTATTTCTCGGTTTTATTTTCTTGGACATCGGCGTGAATTGTAATCAAATGGGTGAAATTATAAAATACAACGTATAGAACATTAAATTGGTAATATTAGCCTGGTGGCTTAGTTCATATTATATGCGAGTATCACGATACTGTCAGCCTTATCGAACTATATGATGAGGGTGTGAGGCTTCATCGATAGGTAGTTTAATCCCCAATTCTAGTGATATGTACACTCATTGTGTCTTATCTACTTGAAACAAAATTCTTTGTTAATCATATTCGATATCTCCGAAGATTATGTGTATTTTCCTTTATTTTAATCGTATGGCGAGTTTTGAATTCGGTTTAATCAAAAAAATTGTCCGGAATAATTGGAAAAAGTATTAGATTTGCATTTCATAATTTGAATGGATCGTAAAATGTTGACGCGTCGCGTCCATAAGATGTTCTAATCAATTCAATTGTTTCAAGTAAGGTCAAGGTTGGGAGGTGATGACAGTACGTTTCTGGTGCAGATAAATCGGACATCACTGATATTGTAATTTTTCGGTTTTATACAACCTCTGAAATGCATCCAATCCCATATGATATCACATAGTAGGGTCACATATAAGTATAAATACTGTATACATATTGTTAAAATAATATTAAGATTTATTGCTGTTTAAGTTGTGATTTTGTTTTTATATGTTGTAGGGTATTACTTATATAGTTTTGTAAATTTCTGTATAATCTAAATGGGCATTACTTATGTTGTTGTTCTTTTTTTTTTATCCTAAACTTACTCTAGAATTAAACCCATCGATAAATTACCTATAACTTATACAATATAATCAGGTTGAAGATTATAATATCTTCTTTACAAAGAGATATAAGAACACAGACCCACGTTTATTTGTATTGTGTAAAATTCTAAAATGACCCAGAAAATAGGTAAAGTGACCTTATAAACAATTCCCTAAAACTCAAACTATTGAAACCTTTATGTTAGATAAAGGTTATTTTATTTATCAATGCTTATAGTAAATTGAAAATATATGAAGGTCTATACTTACCCAGCGGCAAAGTGGGCACGGAATTAAATCCTTTACAGAAGTAAGCCGGTTTCATGAACAGCACCTCCATAGTATCCCATAGCCCTGGCATCAGCGGCTGCATCTCGGGGTTCAGCATCACGTGCACCAGCGCCGTCCTTGAATCCAAATACAGCCTCTTTATCTTCAAATTGAAGATCACGTCACTATCCTTCCAGTTCAAATCTGGTTTGGCACTTTTAAAGGCTTTCAGTAATCTCTCGGCTTCATACGGATCGGTGGTATTCATATCTCCGTAAACGCTGACGTATTTCGTTCTATAGTAGATAAACACTTCGAGTTTCTTCTTCCAAACTTTATACAGTTTGTCGAGGTTCTCGAAACGATATTCGTTCTTTAAACGGATTTTACAAGCATAAAGATTGAGAACGGATTGTTTAGACCTGATGAAGAGAGCTCTGTTGGACGTCGAGACGTGAAAATTCTTGTAATCATATTGGATGCACCAGTAGTAGCCATCGTGGTCAGGGTCAACTCGCAATATTTGTTCATCATCAGTCTTACTTATATCGGTTGAAGAAGGATAGTAGACCAGGCTGTCTGAATAACAGCTGATGTCATTTTTCTTTATAGTATCATTAACGGCGAGGAAAATATTGGCCTCCCTGTAAATTAATTCCGTTTAGGATACGCCAGAACAATTGAAAATTGATTTATATACCACAAAAAAAAATACATTCAACTAATATTTCAAGCACACTTAGGCAAGTTCTAATCGGAATTTAGAAGCAAATCAAATGTAGCTATTACTTAATAATTGTATCACATTGTTGTGCATACCAATCCACTGTGAGTTTAAGGTCGAGGTATCGCAATGGTGCGGGCTTCTCGCAAATGACGTCGAAGAATACATAGGAACTATTCACCAAGTACCAGAATTCGTCACGCACGGCACCGAACACGGCGTCTACTGGCGATTGTGTTGTTTCGAAGTGCCAATCTGAATCCGGAATCTGGGAATTCATTTAAAATTATAATTTACCCATAAATGCAAGTACACATTAAGTAATTACATACATAAATTGTCATTGTACAGTAAAAGAATGTTAAAAATTTTGTAACATTTCAGATCGTTATCATTAAAACGGACACAACAACCTTCTTACGGTCATAGTTATCTCAAGGCAATCAAAGTGCATGTATCGTAAGAACAAAACATATTACAAAAAAAATATTAAGCACTGAAATTAACTATTATTACGCATAAAATTAAGAAGTTAATATATTTGAAAATTAACACTAACTGATATAATTATTCAATTTCGTGTTACCGTTATAATTTTGTAGTCAAAACAGGCTTTTGATGGTGCATAAAATACTCAATATTATACATTATTATTCTGGCAATTATTTTTAAATATTGCACGATTTACTGGAGCCACGTTAAGCTTACGTGGCTGTATTCATTTTATATTATCAACAACAATATTTTTTTGGTTTACCTGTCTAAGATCATCAAAATTAACTTCAATACTCAATACTTTAAAGCTAAACATTCCACGACCAAAACAATGTAATGAGGAAAATGCTTCCACATTAGGTGATCACCCAGGTAACCTAGATAGAGTTACGAGTACTCTCTGCATATTTCCGAAAATCACCGAGGTCATATTACACATAGTAAAGAATAAAATATATCTTTATAAACTAACAAGTTACCAAAATGATTCGAAGACAAACATTGCAATGTAACTCACTTCTTCCGTGTCGTTATCAGCGTCATACCGTAGTATGTCGTGCTCCGTATTCATCACCACACCCATTGGATACATCGGGTAGGAGCCTGAGGTGTGCAGCAACGGATTATTTGAATATCTCCAACCCCTGTGCAGCAAAGAACCTCCTCTTTTCGAACACAACTCCTGTGCTTGCCGCCACGTAGCCCTCACCGTCCCCCCTCCGACACCTGTCACAGCCGTCAAACAGTCCGAGGTTGGACTGTAGAACCTCCAAGACCCACGAAAACCTGCGCATCCTTTTCTACCCATATCATGTTCATCAGGATATGGATGTACGAAGCAATACCTATAGTGCTTCTCGTAGCATCTTGTCGCAGTGAAATTGCTCACGGGATCGATAATCACGCATAGCTCTTCATCTATTCCTAGAGTGGTGTCGTATTTTACGTCGTATGTCGTGACTAGAATATCGCCAGCGGACGCCGTGTAAGACCAGTCTATGAAAGGTCCCCCGGGGTACAGTGACTTGTACTCCGTCCATAGCACCTTATTAGTCTTAGTTAGATTCAAACTATGGTACAATTTCGAAGTGTACAAGTTGCCGGTGCAGTCTTTAAACTTTTCTGCGAAAGTCTCCGGTCCTTTCTCACGGTAGCATATTGGCATTTCATCTTTTGTATAGGCTAAATGAAAGCCTATTGGGCACTTGTGATGTTTTCTGGCTGTGGTGCGGTTGTCGAGCCATAACAGCAGAGTCAGCAGGTAGATATAGAAGCGCTGTGGAGTCAGTCGCATCTGAAACAAATGGCGGTACAAGTTTGTGTGATGCAGTCGTGTTATCTAATCATAATATCATGGATATGACACGCCGTCAATCGACCAGTTAACGAAATATTACAGTTATAATAATACTCGAGTACTGATGTTCCTGATTGGAGCTTCGATATCTCATGGTTGATAAACATGTTGAACTCTTTGCTGATTGCAGATATTGTTTTATCATAGATTAATAAATATATTATATATATATATATATATATATATTTTATACCATTGTAAAATAAACATTTTAAATATGTTTTTAATGGAATCTAATATTATTATACTATCATAACCTATCTAAAGCTTACTGACGACCTCCATGACCTCGTGACTCCCATGCCGGTTCCAAGGTGTACCCGGGATAGATTGCAATCGGGTAAATGTATAAAATAATTCGGATTCCATAATACAAATACTCGAGCAATGTATGTCATGTAGTCTCATATTTATTTACTTTTATTTACTATTTTTTCGCCAGGTTCGCGCGCCTCTGGTACAACTGCCTAACTTTAGCTTTAACTTTAGCCATAAGTTATGACATCTTAGCGTTGTTATGATGATATTCCGTTTCATTTTACTACTTCGACATGTACATTGATAATAATGAACGAATGATAAAGACTGGCAACTTGGATTTGAGAGTAGTGTTAGTAACTTAGTCGTTTATCCACCAAAACAGATTACGAGAGAACTAAAATAAGTCGAATTATTGACGTCGTATCCTACGGATAGAGAGCTAGGCGTCGCTCCCCTGGTCCCGTAGTATATATACAAAACTTTCTCTTAAATCAAATAATATGTTAACCGCATTAATCTGCTGTGTCTCTTAAATCAAATAATATGTTAACCGCATTAATCTGCTGTGTGTTTTAAAAGATCTCAGCGTACAGACAGTGGGAAGCGATTTTATTTTAGACTATGTATAGATTATAAAGCATTTGATTGGTAAATTTAATGTATTTGATTCTTTTTATTCAAAAACCCTGAATATATTTCGTAATAATTAAATGAATCATACGTGTTTTGCGAACAACGTCGCCGTTTATCTCTGTATTCAAGAAGTGATACACCTACTTATATATTTATCTACTTGATAAACGTTTAACGTAAAAAGTCTCCATAATATTTACTGATTTCAAATGAATCTTGAAGCGATGTTGATTTGCTTTGAAACATTTTGAATAATAATCATAGAAACTCGTACTTGTAACTTCTTACTAATATTATTGAAACACGTGATTTGAGAGCGTGCTTTGGACGAGGGCTAAGGACCTGACATCATCCCATCGAGAATGTACTCCGCCGTTTATATCACCACATTCAAACACACTCTTGTAACAATAACACAAATAGTGTTAGTTGTACACATCCATTGTTGCATTATACTATTTACCGAAGGCGACTTGTGAAACATTTAATGTATGCGTTGTTTGTCAATTTAGCTATAATGGTTCTAGTAAATAAGTGAAAAAATAAACTTATCAAGAGTTATTCTATGAGCAACGAAGAAATTAATGACTACCGCCAGAGCCTAATGGTACGCATAAAGGTGTCGCCCTCTCTGGTCAAGGCAATATAGAAAATGAACTTGTAATTTTTTACTATACTGTCTCTAGTATGGGTGTTGTGGTACATTCGGCGTCCCAGATGTTTCTTATTGCAGGCAATTTAGCTACTGATGTATGTGATATTGTCTAATTATTATTTATATAAAAAAAAATCTATATTGATTTGTTTTTAAAAATATTATTATAAATATTTATAGTATGTTTCTAATAAAATCTGGTTTAATAATTAAGAAGTGGCAACCCTACGAAGGGTACGTGTTACTGTGGTGTGACCGATAATTTCAATACTCCAATTTACAATTAATGAACGCAACAAATCTCACCTTCGTTTGCTGCAGTCAATCGTTCTGGCCACTGTCAGCGCACATCTTTCGCAAGGCGACTCTACCGCGTCGAGATAGAGCACAAACTGCCGGTGCGACCGGTAACGTTCCCACGGTACGGTGATATGAACAATTTACTTGAACGAACCTGGAACAAGACAGTTATTGTTACAAACTTGAGATTCTTATTCTAATTACTGGTGGTATTTGAACAAAGTAGCCGCTAATAATGTGAATTATATTGGGAATATGTAAAATAAAAACTTAAACAACAAGCTGGAAACTTTTATTTAAATATATTGATGGGCAAAACAATACAGATACTTCTATTTTTATTATTGATTAATTTCTTTATTTTACATTTTTTGTGTGTACTAAATAAATAGTTGGTTAATTTAAAATGCATTATTTCATTTCAAAATTAACTCACAATCTATAAAAATACTTAAATGTTTTTATTTTGAAACACAGTTACGAAACCAGATTTGGTGTACATCTGGTCTCGTAACTTTGTTTCAAAATTTTACTGTCAACCAGTACGATCGATTGATTAATAGGAGAGTACATATCTGCTTTGTTAAGGATCTCTAAACTATATCTCTAACGCCCGGTTTCTGAATTGAGAATTTGAAGTTGAGAACGTCTGAAACACTGCTTAAGCCATTTTAAACGTCAATTAAATAGCTTTTAATTACTGATTCATAATGTTTTAATGATCAGTTGATAGCAATGTTATGAAACAAGGACTTTTTGCCATATGCAACGTAAAAAACTTAAGTTATTGAGAATAATAAGTTGAAATTTTGTGCTTTTCTCAATTCAGAAACCGGCCTACAATATTTTTTGTATAGATTTTTAGAAACTGATTCAAATTCAATATAATTTGTTCAGTCTGGCCTGTTACAAGCACTTGTGAATATCGAAAACTACGCCATCGGTTCCTAAATCTACGACGGGAGATCTTGTATTGAGAAGAACCAGCAAAAAACTCGGCAAGAGCTGCTTTGCTGATGATATATATATAATCATTTTTGACATATTTCATATGATGCCTTACATCTAATCCTGGTTCTCCGATTGACTGGGAGAGAATCCCTAAAGACATCTAGTCTTCCATTTGTACAATGCAAAACGTACCTATTACTAAATTAAAAAAGTATACAAATAACGAAATAATTTATCTCATTACTTAGCAGCAATTTCATTCAGGGTGAAAATTAGCGAAAACAACCTATGTACACGAAAAATAAAAGAAATTCTTCACAACTGTTTTTGAAATGAAACAGATTCATTTCAAATATCAAAATTAATGGAGAAATTTGACAGTTTCGAATTACCAGATACGTCGTTTCCTGAGCTGTTCTAGTGCTTAATATGAGGATTTCTTATACGAAATGATAAAACACGTTTCCACAAAGGTTCCGATGACATTAAAACCTTAAAAGGAACACTTAACTCATTCTTGGCTCGGAAGTAAATAGGTGTATATAATATTGCAGCTGATGACGGGTTAATTTCGGTTGACCTACGGTTGTAAGTGGACAGCGAGCGTAATGAGGTTATGGACGACGCCCGATTAACTTCATCAACCACTATCATTATCTTATTATGAATACAACATCAATGGCTGATTATTTAAATATCCAATTCATTATTAAATGCGTATTAACAAAATTCAAAGTATTTTTTTTTACGATATGAACGTCAATAGCAGACAAATTTCGATATTTATTTTTAAGTGATTAAAAATTTATGGTTTATAAGTTTTTTCGTCTTTAATTAAACATTATTATTATTATCTTAATTTTAAATATATGTTACCAGCTCTTTTCCCACAAGTTCTCCCGCGTAATTTATAACCTATGTAGCTTTCCGTAGGTGAAAACATTTTCAAATCGGTTCAGTACTATCGGAGCCTATTCAATACAAACTACCAAACAATCGATTCCCTCCTCTTCATATAGACTTTTTTATGATTGCACTCAATCAGTATTTAAAGATTTTCAAAAATTGAAATTTATAAAAATCATATTTTTAATAATAATTACTCAAATATCAATTTTCTTTGCTATATAATAAAAAGTTATAAATAATAGAAGTTATATTTTTTTTATTTATTACAATAAAAAATCATATAGTATAAAAATAATTGTTGTGATAATATTTAGATTAATTGTGATAATACCTATTTTCTTCCATTTAAGTGCTGGTTTTCACGAAAATATATAACCATTTATCTCCCCGAAGTTATAAACTACTCAAATATTTACTTTTCACAGTTATAGATCCTAAAACAAAAGACTTTAATTCAAGCGTTTTCATCTTATTTATCTCTACAAAATCCATTAAAAGGTAGAATTTTCGATGTACTCGTCCCCGCAAGAAACATGCTGTTTTTAAAGCTACAGTCGTAGTGGCATTAGTATTTTTACTTAAACCTCATAACAATAGTACTGACAGTTTACTTACGAAGGTTAGGAAGTATGAGTAGTACTGACTACCTGAATAGATACAAATGGAGTCAATTTGGTTCATTAGCGGGTTGGCGTGACCGACTACAATTAATTCTCAGTAGGCTCTACGTCACTGTGTGCAAAAACTTGCTAATTACATTCGTCTATCAGCCCCTAGCGGGCGCTCCTCAGATTTAAAGACACTTTACATTATTTTAAAACGTTTATAACATATAATTGTAAGATTTTAACAGACAAGTGGGTGCGTCAATCCGTAGTGAGAGAACAGGGGGCCAATTCTACTAAATAAATTTTGTTTAAATCGAATCGAAAACGGATCGAAAATGGATCGAAACCGAATGAAACCACAGTTTTTAATGGTTTTTCTATTCTACTAAGTGACATACGATACAATTTTAGCTAAAATAGAACTGGAATTGTATCGTATGTCACTTTGTCACATTAAAAACTGTAGTTTTGTTCGGTTTCGATCCGTTTTCGATTCGATTTAAACAAAATTTATTTAGTAGAATTAGCCCCCTGGTCAAAGCTTTTAATACGTTTTATATATTATATCTTCAATTTTAATGAAAAAAATCATGATTGTCCTCCGCTTATCGCACGCAGAC